GTAGAAAAGTGACCATAGAAGAAATGGGCTAAGGAAACAAGTTACAAAGGCAAAAGAAGGGCTGTTGGAGCTTAGGAAAGTATACTCGAAAAGAACTGTGTGCTCTGGGAAGAGAGAGAGGGCCTATTTGATTCTTTTTTAAAGTTTAAATTTCTTTGGTAAAGTATTCTTTTTGTTGATTTTATTTCTGAGTTCATTAAACTTCCTGAGTTTTCTTGTATTTTGTTGATTTTTTTCAGAACTGCAGTCTTGAGTTCTCTGTCATTGAAATCACATATTTTTATATGTTTGAGTTTATTTTCTGGAGAGTTTTTATTTTCTTTCTGAGATGCCTTTTTGCCTTGGTTATTCATGGTATCTGATGGATTTTTTTCCTCTGCCTAGGCAGTTATGGGAATGCAGTCTACTTTTTAAAAAGAGTGATCCTTCTCTATTTAGCAGGTTGATAAGAAGAGGTCTGTCTTTTGTTTACTAGTAAGTTGTGCTGAAGTGTAAGTTTTTGTTTTCTTTTGCACTGCTTTGTATTCTTGGATCTCTAGGTGATCGAAAATGTCCTGTATTCCCTGGGGAAGTAGGCATCTCCTCTTTGCCAGACCCTCTCGGTCTTAGAGCACCACCCTCATGGAGGAATGTGGTGGGCAATGAGGTTCTGAACCTGTAAAATCCTAGTGCTGCCCCCTGAAACTAGTTGCTTCCCTGTCCTAGGTGTCCCAGGTGTCCTCCACTGGGCTCAGCTGCTATGGGTTCTCTCCCAGTAATGTTGGCTGCCAGACCTCCATAATTGGGACCAGCCCCAGCATGTGCCCATCACTGAGGAAGGAGTACCTCTGCCTCTCCAGTTCTCAAGGCTGCAGATAGTGTACTCTACAACTGGACACTCACTTCTACAGCTTCTTCTGGGCCCACTGCTAGTTCTGCTGCTAGTTCTGGGTGGATGAGGGGAGGCAGCCAAAATCCAGTGGCTTTGTTTTCTTCCTTGCAATGGCAGCTGCTAAACCACAGCTGCCCGGTCACTGGGTTTAGCTATAGCATGTGCTCACCACTCAGACAAGAATGTTTCTACCTCTCTGTTCCTGAGACCTCACATTTTCCAACTCTGAATTTAGGTCATTTGATAGGTCACTTCTATTTTCCAGTTCACAAATTCTCTCTTTATCTGTGTCCTTTCTTCTTTTTAGCCCATCCACTGGTTTTTATTTTTAATTTCAATTGCACTTTTTTATTTCTACATAATCCTTGCCTCTCTTAAAAATCAGTTTCTTAATTGCTGGTTGTACTTTTGGTATTCTCTTACTTCTTATTATATATACATAAATGTCTTAAATGTTTGTTTGTTTTTTTATTAATCTCACCTGAGTATATATTTATTGATTTTTAGAGAGAGAGAAACATCTATGTGGGAGAGAAACGTCGATCAGTTTTCTCTGTAACACTCCCCAAATGGGAATCGAACCTGCCACTTTTTGGTGTATGGGGTGACACTCCAACCATCTGAGCCACACCAGCCAGGACTATTAAATGTTTTGGCATTTTCATCATTGTCATATCTGTAGTCTGTGGATATGATTCAGTTATATCTGCTTTTCACCGTGGCTCATTTCCACCACCACCCTTTTATTTTTTTCTCACCTGAGGATATTTTTTTACCTATTCTCAGATAGAGTGGGAGGGTGGAGGAGGGAGAGAGAGAGAGAGAGAGATAAACATCGATGTGATAGAGCCACATTAACTGGCTGCCTCCCGTATGTCCTGACCAGGTCCTGGGACAAACTGCAATTGAGGTACGTGCCCTTGACCAGAATCGAACCCGTGACTCATTGGTCTGCGGGCTGATGCTCTAACAACTGAGCCAAACCGGCCAGGGCCACCACCCTTATTTTTAAGTCAGTTTTTTATAGTGAGCTTATTGGAGCTGACCTGTGTGAATTATTTCTGATCCAGGTATGGGGAATGTCCGGCCCACAGGTCATACAAGGCCCACAAAATCAATACCAGCTAACATCACATGTCTCACCAAATTAGCCTGACGAAATATAGCATGCTTATTTTTAAGTTGATAATTTTGTATGGCACACAAATGATGTTATAACTATCCAAATGGCCCTTGGCAGAAAAATGGTCCCCCTCCCTTGGTAGGGTATATACCTCCAGAGAGAAAAATGTATTTGCTTCTCCCTGATACTCATGACACTGTCTCCCAGGGTCTCTTGACATTAAATTTTCACTTGGCCTCACAAAGATAATTGAATTCTAATGCCAAACTTGAATGAATGCCAGATTGTAGTTACAAAGATCCCACCCCACCATTACTATCACATTCTACTCAGACCCAAAGCTAAGAAAAGTAAGAGTACTCATTTCTATGACAATGAGGTGAGTTTTTTCCCTCCCTAGTTTATCTTTCACTGAAAGTTTTACCTTTTGGGGTCCCAGCTTTTTGTTCTTGATCTGACTTCCCACTTTGAGCAGGTCCTACGCTTTATCTTATGTCTCACATGTACAGTGCTATTTGAAATATGGCCACGATGAGGATGTGGAACAACTAGAAACTCCATACCTTGCTGGTGGGAGTGTAAATTGGTTTTAGAAAACTTGGCAGTGTCTAATATAGCCAAATATAGGCTCACCCTGTGATTGAGCAATTCCATTGCTACTTACATATCCAAGAGAAACGAATGCATGTGTCTACCACAGGACATGTAAAAGCATTTTCATAACAGCTTTATTCATAATTGCCAAAACCTGGAAGCTACTGAAATCTCCACAGGAGAATGAGTAAATTGTGGAATATTCATACCGTAGTATACTACACAGCAATAAAAAGGAAAAAACTGATATATACAACATGGGTGAATCCCAGACATTAGGTGGAACGAGAGAATCCAGACATCAAATAGTACCACTGTATGATTCCACTTATAAGAATTTCAAAAACAGGCAAAACTAATCTATAGTGATAGATAGAAGGCACTTGCTTATTAATTTAGCTGTGCTCTGTGCATTTAAAGATAATTTTATTTAAACTTATTTTAGTTTTTCCATCACCATTTATCCCCTCTCTACCCGCCCTACCTACACAGTAACCACATTGTTGTTCATATCCATGAGTTCTCGCTCTCTTTTTTTTTTTTTTTCCTTTCTTTAACTGAAATTACATAGACAATTTCTCAGGATTTATAGTCTACTTCTTCTACATTGCTGAGACCAATTTTCAAGATTAAAAATAAAATATAATTTCTGTTTTCTTTTTTTAAAAAAGCCTGTTAACCCTCATTTGAGGAGTATTCTCCCTTTCTATTACAGGTGTAAGAAAGTTCTACATCATGTGTTAAAAGTGCATTCTGACTTGGGGAATCTGGGTAAAGGGAATTTCTTGTATGATTTTTTGCAACTTTTTTGTAATCCTAAAATTATTTCAAAATAAAAGGTTTTTCAAAAAACACGTCCAGTTTCAACGTTAGAAATCTAACTACTATTTATAATACTGCATTTTAAGCAACCAAGTTAGAAACTTCAAATGCAATCCATTTATAGATTAGGGCTATCTGTATTATATTTGAGTTGTCATGTCAATTTGCTGTAACTTCCTTTTTCTTTTCCTAACTTTTAAAATATTCTTTCTTTTGCCCGGCCGTTGGGGCTCAGTGGTTGAGCATCAACCCATGCACCAAGAGGTTGCTGGTTCGATTCCCAGTCAGGGCACATGCCCAGGTTGGGCGCGTGGTTCCCTGGTGGGGGGCATGCAGGAGGTGGCCAATCTGTGTTCTCTCTCACCAATGTTTTATCTCTCTCTCCCTCTCCCTTCCTTTCTTTTTAAAATCAATAAAGGAAAAAAAAATTTTTTAATATTTTGTATTTTGCCATTGGCATTTTGCATTATTTTCCAACTTCTTTATTGTGGCCTGCATTCAAAAGACAGAATGAAATATACGCTTTCTTGAAATGTATCCTTTTTTTTTCATCTTCTCCCGAGGACATTTTTTCATTTTTTGTTCAGACAGAGTGGGAGGGAGAAAGAGGGAGAGAGAGAGAGAGAGAGAAACATCGACGTGAAAGGGACACATTGAGTGGCTGCCAGGGCCGGGGACAAACTGCATCTGAGGTACATGCCCTTAGCAGGAACCAAACCTGGGCCTCTCTGGACCACGGGCTGACGCTCTAACCACTGAGCCAAACCGGCCAGGACCGAAATGTATCTTTCAAAGTTATTGAACTAGGCAGAATCTTAAGCCCCAGTAAGATATGGGAAAGGTTAGTTGATAAGCATCTGACAGTGTAGCTCACGGATGGCAAATTCCTGTCACATACCATTCTTCTTTCATCCATAGCAGATATTGCTTATTGATCACAACATTCTTTTCTTCCATAATCTTCTTCCACATGTTGTTATAGCTATCTACTGCCATTTGGTTTGAGTTGGCATGAGTTAGAAAAAAAGTATATTTAATGTATGATTTAGAGGATTATTTGGGGGGAAAACTTCTGGAATATCTATTATAAGTCATGAACTATTCCATCCATTGTATAAAGTAAAATTATCATAATTTTGGAAACCCAATTTAAAGAATACCTTGTTTCTTGTCACTTAAATTTTCAGTTGTTTTTGAAGCCAATTGAATTGGCTAGATTTGTATAATGTTTTGTTGTTAAAATTTTTTTTTTCTTTATTGATTTTAGAAAGAGAAGAAGGGAAAGGGACAGAGATGGAAACATCGATGAGAGAGAACATCGATTGGCCGCCTCCTGCATGTCCCCCACTGGGGATTTGGCCCACAACCTGGGCATGTGCCCTGACTGGGAATCAAACTGGCGACCTCTTGGTGCATGGGTTGAAACTCAACCACTGAGCCACACCAGCCAGGCTTTGTAGAATATTCCTGAAGTATAATCTGTTTTTTAAAATATCCACAAAACTGAATGTCAGATGTTTAACTTTTAATTGGATGACATTGTTAATAATGTTATTTACTTTAATTCTTATGTTTTTCTCTATTTTTAAGGAGTGGACCTACCCTATGAGACGAGAGATGCAGGTATGACAGTCTTTATGTTTATTTAAACTAACCCATATTAATGTTATCATTAAATAACCTAACCTAATTTCACAAAGGATTTGAATTCTTTGTGGCGCATCTGTTGACTCATGGTCTGTAGGTTCTTCACTATATATTTGTACATATTAACATACTTAAATTGTGGATCATAAAAAGATGGGAAATTGTTACCTTTTTAAAAAAATATGTTTTCATTGATTTTTTAGAGAGAAAGGAAGGTGGAGAGGGAGAGAAATTTATCTATCAGCTACCTCCTGCACACCCCCCCTACTGAGGATTGAGCCTGCAACTTGGGCACATGCCCTAATGAGGAATCAAACCGGGACCTCTTAGTCCATGGGACAACACTGAGCCACACAGGCCAGGCCTTTTCTAAAAGATTAGAACCATGAACATAGTAATATATGTACATGCTTATAGAATCACTTTGTTTTTCCACATCTGAAAAATTTGGTACAACATTTTTATTCCTTTTGAAAGCAGTTTGCTTTGTTCATCTAGTTTAGGTGAGTTCAGGAGAGTTGCCTGTGTATATTATACCCTAGATACTAATATAGTGTATTAGTGATTTCCAATCAAATTCTATAACTAACTCCTCCAGAAGACTGACTTAAAAATTCCCAGTGTGGAATGAATTAAGTGATGGCTAATTCTCCTAACAGTTCATTTTTCTTTTGCATTTCTCACCATTTTTCGTCAACTCTGCTAGACCTAGGATTAAGCAATGTCTTCTGTTCCTGGGAATCCTTTGACTTCTAAAAATCTGTTTCTTTTATTTCTTAGTGAAAATCCATTATTTTAAAGTATGTGAGTACTAAGAGGCATTTTACTTGATGCTGTGGGGAATGCAAAGATGAGTAAAATGTTATTTCTGCCCACAAGAAGCTGGTAGAAGAAATCAGACCTATACACAAATATGATATCCTGTAGAACTGAACTAGTGTACATATTAGTATCTTGGGTATGATATAGCCCATCTGGATGCTTTCTATATTGAATTCACATAGAATACATTTTAATCCAACATATAGAAGGTAATTATTTAAATTGTTGAAACTGTCAGTAAGTAAACATTTGATGTTGGTCTTTTTTAACTTGCTATACTTTATTTCTATCATTAACTATAGATAACAGTTCTAATATTTTGTATTTTATGCTTCTTTTGACTTGGCTCATAAGGTTTTGTGTAATTCCAAAGGGAAGATTTTTTTTATACCTATTTCTGGATTATAGCAGAGAATAGAAGTAAAATTAGAGGTGTTTTATTAATGTAAAAGGTAACAGTACAATGTACTGACTCTACCCAAACTGCTTATAAAAGCTCTGTTGTCAATAAAACAGGGGAAAAAAGCACTATGGAACTTCAGATATCTGGAATATATTATTCAGAACCATATTTGAATTTTGAATGTCTCATTTGATATGTAAAATACATCTGCATTTCTCTTCCCAATCATTTGCTTAATGTAGCTAGAAAATGTGCCCTAAACAACAAGCTTTTTAGCAAATTATTATAACAGCTATGAAAACACCCCACAAATCTACTGTTATGATACATATTTTATATACATTTAAATTGCTGATGGTAAATATATCGATTTTTTTTTTCTAGGAAATTTTACCTGGATTGTTTTTAGGCCCGTATTCTTCTGCTATGAAAAGCAAGGTATGAACTTTAGTTAGGTTCATCAAGGGACTTTATTAACCAAATTTTTTGGATTAAATTTTTTTTTCTTTAGTAAGTTTTATTTGAGGGGGAGTTCACAAATAATTGCATGTTAACCGTAATTGTTACTCTGGAGCACCCTACCTCTTTCCAAATTTTACTGGACCAGTGATTCTCAAGTGTTTCACCACAAATGACAAATGAGTTTTTATATTTTATTTTTCTCATGAAATCCATGTGTTTGAAAGATTTACCAAATAAATAATGGACCTTTATTTAATTGTTTATTTACCCTCTAAAATATAAAGCCCAAAATAAGGATGTCTTCGTTAACCTTAACAAGGGTGTGTGTTTTTGTGTTGTATGTCTGTGTGTGCATGCACATGCACTCATTTTGACTGAAGTGACTCAAATCTTATTTTTGTTTTTCCAGACTTTAGAGGTCTAGATGCTCCAGGTTATAAAGTATTACACTATAGCCCTGGCCGGTTTGACTCAGCAGTTAGAGCATCGGCCCACGGACCAGAGAGTCCAAGGGTCAGTTCCCGATAAGGGCACATACCTCGGTTACAGTTTGTCCCCAGCCCCGGTTGGGATCATGTGGGTGGCACCACTCGATGTGTTTCTCTCACATCAACGTTTCTCCCTCTTTCTCTCTCCCTCCTGCTCTATCTGATGATAAATGCAAAAATGTCCTCAGGTGAGGATAAAAAAAAAAGAAAGCCCTGGCCGGTTTTGCTCAGTGGTTAGAGTGTCCGCCTGCGGTCCGGAGAGACCCGGGTTCGGTTCCCGCTAAGGGCACGTACCTCGGTTGCAGTTTGTCCCCGGCCCTGGTTGGTCGTGCGGGTGGCAGCCACTCAGTGTGTCCCTTTCACATCGATGTTTCCCTCTCTCTCTCTCTTCCTCTCTCTCCCTCCCACTCTGTCGGTACAAAGAATGGAAAAATGTCCTCAGAAGAGGATAAAAAAAAAAAAAATTATTACACTATATATTAAAAATGTCTTAGTCAAACTGAAATTGATTTATTCAGTTACACAATTAAGAGTATAGATCTCATTTTAATATTTGTAGCAATATTGTTGCTACTTCCTAGAAGATTGAGCCCTATGAATTATGACAGTTCTACTAATTATGTTTGAATTTGAATGTGAAACATTGTATCACAAATGTTATCCCCAAAACTCTGACTATTTAGAAGTCAGTATTTTTGCGTATATCTACCTACAGTAGGTTTTGTAAAAACGTTAGAATTTTAAACTTTCATGATATAATTTGGTGTATTTATGAATTTTGGGTGATTTGCAGTTTTTTAGAGTCATTCCTTTTGAAACTGGAAGGCTTTTTGTCCATTGAGGCATCCTAGACATTTTGATGGCCTACCACCATGTTTGATAGGGTAGACAACTATAGATTTCAATGTGACTTTGTAAAAGACAAACATAAAGTTATTGCCCAAATAATGTAGTATTCACAAATTACTGGCCTTCAAGATGGTTTTATTTTTTTAATATGTTTTTATTGATTTTTATTAGAGACAGAGGAAGGGAGAGAGAGAGAAACATTGATGTGAGAGAGAAACATGGATCAGCTGTCTCCTGCACGCTTCCCTCCCCACCCCCTACTGGGGATCAAGCCCACAACCTGGGCATGAGCCCTGACCAGGAATCGAACCAGGACCTCTCAGTCCATGGGACAATGCTCAATCCACTGAGCCACATCAGCCAGGCAAGATGGTTTTAGATTATTTGCTTTTTGTATTCTCACTGTACCTATTATACCATCTGTCATATTAAATAGCAAGTATTTGTTTACAGATCATTCTCTTCAAAACCTTTTCCCTCTCAACGTCACCATGGTCTTACTAGACTGAGGAAAAAAGCTTGTATGGTAAATTTGATTGTTTCCCACCCCAAGTCACCCATATTTCTTTTTACACCATTATTCCAAAATAGTGTAACAACAACAAAACCAAACGTCGTTGCCCTGGCCGGTTTTGCTCAGCGGTTAGAGCGTTGGCTCATGGTCCAGAGAGACCTGGGTTCGGTTTCCACTAAGGGCAAGTACCTCGGTTGCAGTTTGTCCCTGGCTCCAGTTGGGGTCATGTGGGTGGCAACCACTCGATGTGTCTCTCTCACATCAGTGTTTCTCTCTCTCTCTCTCTTCCTCCCTCTCTCCTTCTCACTCTATCTGAAGATGAATGCAAAAGTGTCCTCTGGTGAAGATTAAAAAAACAAAAAATAAAACAAAAAGTTGTAATGGAAATAGAAAAATGTTAGGGAATAAACTTCTTTTCTAAGATTCATTATTTAAGCCTATCATTTATTACATTCAAATGCAGTTTTAATAAAAAGAACAAATTAAGGCTCTTTGTAACTAGTAAACTATTCGTTTTGTAAAATTTTTCTATTGTTTGTAGGTATGATGAGATCATAATTTGCTTTATATTATCAAATCTATTGAACAGTAAAAAGTAATCTCTTTGCTACTGCATGTGAATTCTATTTTGATAAGGTTTGTTTTTACTTAATAATAATCTAATATACTTTCAAATTGTTTTGGTCCACAATTATATATGTTATCTTATAGGTCCTTACATTAATAGATATTAAAACTTCTTCATATTATCATAGATCAAGTGTGAACAAAGGAATGAATATTGAATTCATTTTGGAGGTTGGGTAAATAAATATAAATATGGAACATTGATTAATTATTAATCCTACCAAATACTTACCTCCCTTCCCCTTACTCAGGACATACTTAGGAAATACAAAGATAACTGAACTCTAATCTCTGCTTGACATAGGAAAATTTGCTGCAAAAATTAATTTTTAAAACTTTTGAAAATCAGCTCAGCCTACTGTAATACAATGCTGGATGCCTGTATAAAAGACTGGGTGGCTTAAACAACAAACATTTATTTCTCATAGTTTTGGAGGCTGGGAAATTTGAGTTCAAAGTGCCAACAAGTTTAGGTTTTGGTGAGTTTCCTCTTCCTAGCTTGCCAAAGGCTGCCTTCTTGCTGTATCTTCACGTGACAGAGAGAGGAAATTCTAATGTCTCTTACTTTTATAACAGCACTAATTTCATCGTAGAGGCTCTGCCCTCATGACTTCATCTAAGCCAACTACCTTGAGAGGAGGTGTCTAATTACTTCCCAAATACCTACCTCCCAATGCCATCACCTTGGAAATTAGGGCTTCAACATGAATTTTAGGAGAACACCGACATTCAGTCCATAGCGAATATAAATTATCCTTTGACTTCTTTCGTGAATTATTAGTATTACTGTTTTGAACTATTTAATGTAGAAAGTGGGAATTAAATATATAGGATTATAAAATGAAAATATCATAGAAAATGTAAGATTGTTAATTCTGATTCCTCATGCCAGTATGAATTGTTCATTCATTTATTGAACATATAATTGAACAACTACTATGTTCCAGTCACTGTTACACATATTTAATATGAATCAGTGAACAAAGTCTTTGTTCTTAAGGAATTTACATTTTAGCTATTAAAATAACGTGTCATCTATAAATTCACAGAAACCTATGTCTTACGAATAAAAATTTGATATTTTTCTAGAGTTGTGTTAAATTGCTGTATAATTCAAGCCAAAAAAGCACCACAGAATATAAGAAACTATCATTTGGAGTTGCCTTTTTTAATTTCAGTAGAATTGTAAAACCCCGAAAGATTTCATTTGATTCTATAAATTATATAAGTTAATTCTAGCTCGTAGTACAAAAAGTATACTGGGAGAGGCCAGGAGTAACCTTAGATATTTGGGCTGTGGTACTGCTCTTATTAACTAGGTCAGTGATGTTGAATAACTGTTTATGTCTTAGTCCCCTCTAAAGAAAAAATATAGTCAATATATGTAACTACTATTTAATAAACACTTGAAATGTGCTGAAGGCACTATGCTAAACACCTTATATATTATTATCCTATATAATTCTTACATCCATTCAGTGAATCGATAGTGTTTTCTTCATTTTCATATGAAAAACCTGAGCCCCAGAGCACAGGTCATTAGCAGGGCCGGGATATAAAACGTGGTCTCTCTTAATTCCAAAGTCTGTGCTTTGAGTCACTACATAGTACTGTTTTTCAAATAAATTATCTTTAAGCTCCTATCAAGCTCTAAAATTATAGGCGCAAAATAATCCTATTAGCTGTTGGAAGACATTTAATGTATTAGTTTTGAATCATTGAAATCTTTGGATGATCATTTCAGGTATATTATTTTAAAATTAGCTTTAACCCCCTTTATGTAAAGCTCAGATGTGGCTATATCAATTCTAATGTTGAATTGTGTATTTTCAAACATCTGTGTTACAGTATGATGATGTTTTATATTTTAAACTATTTCTCTCCCTTGCCTCTTTTTTTTTTATAGCTGCCTATACTACAGAAACATGGAATAACCCATATCATATGCATAAGACAAAATATTGAAGCAAACTTTATTAAACCAAACTTTCAACAATTATTTAGGTAAGAATATTGCTATGATTTATTGAAATGTTACATGTAGCAGACATGTAATGTAGTTTTTTTAATATGTTTTTATTGATTTTTCTAGAGAAAGAGGAAGGGAGAGAGAAATATCGATGTGAGAGAAACATTGATTGGCTGCCTCCTGCACACCCCCTACTGGGAATCGAGCCGACAACCCTGGCATTTTGTCTTGACCAGAAATTGAACCAGAACCTTTCAGTCCATGGGATGATGCTCAACACACTGAGCCACACTGGCTGGGTTGTAATGTAGTTTTTAATTTAGTTTGATTTTTATCTTTTCAGACTTTCTTCTGTACACATCCATTTTATAGAAATGGTTGTACAGTACATTTAAAAATAAATTTTTCTTTAAAATAGTTTAAATAAATTATTCATGTAAGTAATGCAGCATTCTAAAGGTTCAAAAGAATGCATACTGAAAAGTAGGTTTCCCTATTTCCATCCCCTAAAGACTCAATTCCCCTCCTAAAAGCTTCTGATTGTTAACTTCTTTTTGAGTATTCTTCCAGAGTAATATTACATATATAAGCATATTCCTACAGATAAACTTTGGTTTTTTACACTGGATTTTTTTTAATTGTATATTTTTTGGAGTTGCTTCATTCATATCATTTCTTAGAGTTGCATTACAGTCGGCCCTCATTTATCGCAGTGAATCAGTTCAGACTCTACCACAATAAATTAATTTCCACGAAGTAGGATTCTTTATTTATACAAAGTTGTCCCTTGCTACTTCAAGCTTCGACTTGGCAGGGCTTCACTCTACCGCAGTTTTTTTTTTCAAATATAGTATAGCATTGGAAGAAGCCACGAAAGTCAAAGTGCAAAGTGGCGAGGGATGACTGTATTCTTTTCAAGTTGCACAGTAATTCATGGTACGACTACACTAAAATGTATTCAACCCATCTCCTGTTGTTGGATTTTTAGATTGTTTCCAGACTTGCTAATATAGTATATAGTGAGTATCCTTGTATATGTCATTTAATTCATATGTGAATTTATCAGTAGGATAAATTTGTAGAAGTGGAATTGCTGGATATGAGCATTTAAAATTTTAATAATGCAAATTGCCCTCGAGTGAGTTGGATCAGTCTACATTTCCACCTAGAAGTGTAATGAGAATGACTATTTTTTTGGTATCTCTGCAAGACAAAATAATAAAACATTCCAAATCTCTTAGATTAAAAACGGTGTTTCATGTAATTTAAATTTGCCTTTCTCATTTATCTTACAGTGAGTGCTGTTGAACATCTAAAGATTTTTAATGTTCTTTATTTTAACTTTAGTAAGAGTATATTACACATGGTACAAAAAGGTATATGATGAAATTACTTTCCTTCTCTAAACCCAAACACCTAGCTTCTCTCCTGGGAAGCAACTACTGTTAAAACTCTTCCTTGAGTCCTGGCCAGTTTGGCTTAGTGGTTAGAGCGTTGGCCCATGGACCAATGAGTCACCGGTTCGATTCCAGTGAAAGGCACATACCTCAGTTGCAGTTCATCCCCAGCCCTGGTCGGGTCATGCGGGAGGTAACCAGTCGATGTGGCTCTATCATGTCGATGTTTCTCTGTCTCTCTCTCTCCCTCCTTCCCACTCTATCTGATAATAAGTAGAAAAATATCCTCAAGTGAGAGATAAAAAATTTAAAAAATAACTCTTCCTTGAGTATCATTCTAGAGATATTCTGTGTCTATATAAAAACATATATAAAATATTTTAATGGTCTGCTTTATTGGTAAAAATGAGTGACCTGAATATCCATCAGTACAAGACATAAAATATATTGTGTAAATATACAATAGAATACTATAACCATGAAAAAGAATGAAGTATTTCTGTGTTTATTGATATTTCATATCAATTATTTTTCTAATTGATATGAAATAATCTCTTAAGATTTATTAAAAGAAAAATTAAGGTGCAGAACCATGTGTACTCTCAGTGTGTTTAAAAATACATACAAAGCATTAGGCATATATATTTTTGTATATGTGTAGAAAATTTCTGGACTAACAGACTATAAACTTGACAATGATTGCTACTGAGGGGATATTCAGGGTCTAGAATGATAAAGGAACCTATTTTTTATTGCAAATATTTTTTAAAAATTATTTTCTTTATTGATTTTTTTTTTTTTTTTTTTTAGAGAGTGGAAAGGAGAGGGAGAGAGAGATAGAAACATCAATGAGAGAGAACACCGATTGGCCACCTCTTGCATGTCCTTCATGGAGTTCTGTCCCATAACCTGGGCATGTGCCCTGACCAGGAATGGAACTGGCAACCTCTTAGTGCATGGGTCGATGCTCAACCAGTGAGCCACACTGGCCGGGCGCAAATATTTTTTTATACTGATAGAACTTTTGACTATGTGTACATATTTCTCAGTTAATAAAAACTTGTTTTAAAAAAATGAATGTCTATATTTTAAAATAAAATAGATTGAATTTTTTCTAATTGTAAAAGAAATACTTGTTTTTTATAGATACTTTTGTAAAAACCAAAATTATACCAAGAAAAATATTTTATAATTCCACAACCTAAAAGATACACTTTAGTTAACATTTTGGTATATTTTTTCCTAAATATTTCTCTATTGTATATGTGTAGTATGCATATACACATATAGACTTATATATATTAAAGAAAATGAAAGTGTTACATTTTAAAATGTCATACTATACATTTGTTTTTAGTACCCAGAGCAGGTTCTTTATCTTTTTTTTGGAATGTTTTTTTTTTATCCTCACTCAAGGACATTTTTCCATTTTTTATTCAGATAGAGCTGGAGGGAGAGAGAGGAAGTGAGAGAGAAACATCGACGTGAAAGGGACACATCGAGTGGTGGCCACCCACACGACCCAACCAGGGCCGGGGACAAACTGCAACTGAGGTACATGCCCGTAGTGGGAACCGAACCCGGGCCTCTCCGGACCACAGGCCAATGTTGTAACCGCTGAGCCAAACCAGCCAGGGCAACAGGTTCTTTATCTTAATGGAAGAACTACTTTCTCCTTAAACTTAAGTATTGGCTTATAAATCAATAGTTCTACTACTAGTTTTTGACATTCAAAATGGCATGCAGTAAATATTTTAGTTTGACTCTGAATTAACTTCTTTTTTTTTACCCCTGAAGCAGTGTTTTATATAACAGGTCTACCCAATCATTTTAAGGTACTATTGTTGTCAGAATCCTTATGGTTTTTACATTGGTCTATCCTTGGATCCTGAGCTTCATCTTTCTCCGATAAGCCCTGAATTTATTAATGTTGTTATCACCTAAATGATCATTATAAAAAACTGATTTTTAAAACAATATTGACTTTAAAAATTAATTTTATGCCCAGCCAGTGTGGCTTAGTGGATTGAGAGTCTTCCCATGGATTAGGAGGTTCCAGTTCTATACTGGATCAGGGCACATGCCCAGGTTGTGGGCTCGATCCCCAGTAGGGGGTGTGTAGGAGGCAGCCGATTGAGGTTTCTCTCTCACATAGGTGTTTCTCTCTCTCCCTCTCTCTAAAAAAAGCAATAAAAACATTTAAAAAAATTAATTTCATAACTTATTTATAACTGTGTTAGTAAATAGGTTATCTTGGATAATTTAAAAATGGAAGTATTTTACAAAATTTAAAAAAAGCCTAGCATATTAATTATGTCTAATTTTAAATGTTTCCAAAGCATAAAATTTCAGGACAGGTGATCTTTTGACCTTTTTGTTCTACTGATGGTTAGTTCAAACAGCGAATGTTTGACTTGTGACTCCATCAAACTGCCTCCTATTTTGATTAACTCCTTCTCTTTCACACTTTAAGCTTCTTCTGAATTGTTCTCTGTAGGGTTGTAAGGAGGGGTGGATTACAGGATCATTCAGAGAAGAATCTTCTAGTCCTAGGGAAGTGGTAAAAATAGAATAACAATAATGAATACCGGCACTTTTTGTCTTTATTTTCTAGGTCAACTCTGATCCTAACAAAGATCTTTTCTTGTGATTTTTCTGTTTTAACGAGATAGATTTTTGAATACTAACATATCAGAGCAATGTTCACATGTGTTATTTAAGGCTTTAAATGCTATGTATGCTTCAAGTAATATAGAATCTATGGTCCACTTCTTGGGAATACGATACTTTGAAAGTTGTTTTGCATTCTTTTCATGGATGTCTAGCAATTTTCAGAGTTAGTTTTTTAATACTTAAAGTTTTATCTGAAAGTGTGCTTATCACAAATATTCTATTTTCAGATACTTAGTCTTGGATATTGCAGATAATCCAGTTGAAAATATAATACGTTTTTTCCCCATGGTAGGTATCAATATTTTAATATCATTTAAAAATTTTTCATGGTTTGGCCTCTTAATTGTGATTCTAAAACTTTTACTTCTGTTATGACTGAAATGTGTGGGATTATATATATTTTCTAAATTTGAGAAATCATACTTTGAATTTATTAAAATTAAATTTTAGCACCCTGTATAATTTTTAAACTTGAAATGGTTGTATTTGTAGCATTTTGAAAATTCTTGAATTAATGTAATTTTATTCATATAAATTAGCAATAAGTTAGTTTTAATATATTTTGTTTCACTATGTATTTTATGTTTACGTTAATCCACATGTTTTATTATAACACATTGTCTTTGCCTTCAGACTAAAGAATTTATTGATGGGAGCTTACAAACTGGAGGTAAGTAATATTTACTTAGCTAATGTTTATTTTTAGGAGATTATTTGTTTAATTTTTTTAGTAAGTATTCATTTTAAATTCAGGATATAGAAGTTGTAATTACATATAACGGACTATTCTCAAGTTTGTATTTCTTGATTTCTGTTTTGTTTGGATATGCTTTCTTAAATATCCCTGCAGAGCTATTTTCAAATTCTAGGTCAGCTTTAAATCTCTTTTACCTAAAAGTCTGTTGTATTTTCTACATAGTTAGTGTAAATAAATTGTAAATATTTGAATATTAATAAACATCTAACTTGGTACATATAAAGTGTTTAAGAAAATATTTTAATATGATATGACAGATACATGGTTTCAATATATTTTAGCTATTGAATCAGGTATTTTTCTATGAGAATAACTATTTCTTATTTTTTAGGAAAAGTTCTTGTTCATGGAAATGCAGGGATCTCCAGGAGGTATGAAGTTAGAGATTATCTTTTTTTTTCTGTAGCATTTAATTAATGAGTTGTGTTTTCCATTTTTTTCTAAAATTTTTTCCCCCTCTTCAGTGCTGCCTTTGTTATTGCATACATTATGGAAACATTTGGAATGAAGTACAGGTAAGAAAGTACTCTAAAACCTAGCCACAATTTAAATTCTTATTAAAATGGAACTAAATGGAGATGTTGGAAGTTTGAAGTTTTACTGTTCCTTTGATTTTGTTATCTAGATATGTTTGATAGGCCCTAGTACTCTGCTTACTTGGTTTTCTAACCTTTGTAGCTTATCTACATTATCTACTTAAGCTAAATTTTGTTCTGGTTTTATGGAGCTAGTGCTGTTGTAATTTTAAGAAGCTATGGTAGTTATAGTTAGAATAATCCATGGAAAACTCCTTACTGCTAGGGAATTGGTTAGTCTGAGTTTAAAAACTTCTAGACACAGATTTTACTGCTTTCTTTATTTAAAAGCCTAATTTATGCCCTGGCAGGTTTGGCTCAGCCATTAGAGCGTCAGCCCGTGGACCAGAGTCCCGAGTTTAGTTCCCGTTGAGGGCACGTACCTCGGTTGCAGTTTGTCCCTGGCCCCGATTGGGATCATGTGGGTGGCAACCACTCGATGTGTCTCTCTCACATCGATGTTTCTCTCTTTCCTCCCTCTCACCCTCGCGCTCTATCTGAAGATACTTGCAAAAATGTTTTCGGGTGAGGATTAAAAAAAAAAGCCTAATTTATTATGTTTTTCTTTAATAGTTGTTGGATGAAAAATTACCTAGAAATTGTTTTAGCTTCTATTTATTATTCATTATAGTCTTTCTTAACCAAACTCATCTTTTTCAAGCATATGCAAAGATAAAAAGGAGAGAGGAGAGGTCATAAGCTTCTCACCCCAAACCAAAACAAAAACCTGGCCAGTGTACAGTGTTTCCTTTCTTAGTGTATCTTGTTGTACAAGTTAAAAATCTTGTAATCATTGACACCTCCTCTTTTACTCCCCATCTCCCAAATGGATTCATTACTCAATCTTGTCTGTTTTATGTCCTAAAATATACATTGAGTATCAGTGTATCTTTCTCTTCATCATTTAATCCCCCTAATCCAAGCTCTAGTTGTGTCATCCAATAGGAGCCTTCTTAGTGGTCCCCTGTATTCTTTGCTCCAGTCTGTTTCATTCTCTATACTACAGTCAGAATGATCTTTTCAAAAGATTAATCTAATTACCCCAATAAGCTCTCGAAGGTTTCTGGTCCTCAATAACTTAACATGGCCAGTGAAACTTGTATGACATGCACCCATCCTTATACCATGTTCCCCATTACTCTCTCCATTTGAGCTATGTTCAGCATTGGATCCGCATGCCTGACACATAACAAACATTCAAATACTTCGCTAGTTTTTTTCATATCCTTTGTATTTAAATTATAATGGAAAAGTTTGCTTAGTGGTATCAGTTCTTAGAGGAATATTATTTGAATACAAGTAATTTATTTGTTTAGTTGAAAAAGATAAGCATTGGGAGACTCTGTTTTCTTTTTTCTCTTTATTTGGTGTCTTGTTAGTAATAATATTAATAGTGAAAGTCACTTCCTTTTATTGGGTCTCTGCTATGTTCCAGATACTTACTATTCTAGGCATTTTTATCTCACTTAAGCCTCACAACACAAGGAAGTAGATATACTTCTCATTTGATCAGTGATAATATTTTGAGTATGTACTATGTGAGAGATGCTATACAAGGTACTTCACACTTATTATCTCCCATCTTTACAATAGCCTTCCAAGATAGGTATTATAATCCCATTTTATTGTGATTAGTCTGACCATTCTGTTTCTATTTCTATTATAACTCACTACCACTCTGGAGTACAAGCTATATGATTATGATGTCCTATTTTAGGTAAATATTTAGATACGTTTCTATTGTAGATGAATTCTAGAAAAATTAAGATTAATTCATGAACTAATAATACCATTTTAATTTTCTTTTTCTGTTTTCAGAGATGCATTTGCTTATGTTCAAGAAAGAAGATTTTGTATTAATCCTAATGCTGGATTTGTCCATCAACTTCAGGTAACCTCTTTTCTCCTTTAAGGCAGTCAGAAAGTATGATAATTAAAATCTTATGTCCATGTAATTTAGGTGTAGAATTTACTTTGTACAGTCGTCCCTCGCCACTTTATGCTTCGACTTTCGTAGCTTCACTCTATCGCGAAAGTCAAAGCGCGAAGTGGTGAGGGACGACTTATATATAAATAAAGAATCCTACTTCGCGGAAATTCATTTATCGCTGTAGAGTCTGGAACTGATTAACCGCGATAAATGAGGGCTGACTATAAATACTTAAAAATTGCCGTAATCTAACTTGATTCTTTATTAAAGCTTGCATATCTACTTAAAAGAATTTGCCTCTTTTATAAATTAAATTTATTGGGGTGGCATTGGTTAATAGGATCATATGGGTTTCAAGTGTACATTTCTATGATACATGATCTGTATATTGCTCATGTATGCTTACCACCCAAACCATCTTCTGTCACTATATATTTTGCCCCCTTTTTGCCCCCACTCTCCTACTCCCCTTTGATAACCACCATACTGTTGTCTGTGTCTATGAGTTTCATTTTTATATCCCACATATGAGTGAAATCATATGGTTCTTAGCTTTTTCTAACTGACATTTTTGCTTATCATAATATTCTCAGAGTCCATCATGTTGTCGCAAATGGCAGTATTTCATCTTTTCTTATGGCTGGGTAGTATTCCGCTGTACCACATCTTCTTTATCCAGGCCTCTATTGAAGGACGCCTTAGTTTTCTCCATGTCTTGGCCACTGTGAACAATACTGCAGTGAACATAGGAGTGTATATATCTTTGCATATAAATGTTTTCCAGTTTTTCAAGTGTATACCCAGGAGAGGGATTGCTGGGTCATATGGTAGCTATATTCTTAATTTTTTTAGGAAACTCCACACTTTTCCATAGTGGCTGTACCAGTCTCCATTCCCACCAGCAGTGAATGAGGTTTCCTTTTTCTGCACAACCTCTTCAACATTTGTTATTACTTATCTTATTGATAATGGCCATTCTAACAGGTGTGAGGTGGTATGGTATCTTATAGTAGTTTTGATTTGCATTTCCCTAATAGCTAATGAAGTTGAACATTTTTTCATATATCTGTTGGCATGTCTTACTGGGAGAAGTGCATTTTCAGGTCCTGTGCCCATTTTTATTGGATTGTTTAGTGTTGAGTTGTTCTTTATATATTTTGGATACTAATCTCTTGTTGGAGCTCTTGATTGCAAATATCCTGGACTTATATGTCTGTTTCCTTCACCAGGTTAGGGAAGTTTTCTGTCATTTTTTCAAATAGGTTTTTAGTTTATTCCTCTCTCTCTCTTCTCCTGACGCCATCATGATGTGAAAGTTGGTTTGCTTGAAATCCCAGTGGCTCCTTACATAAACTACATTTTTTAAAATCCTTTTTTCTCTTTGCTGTTCTGATTGGGTGTTTTGGCTTTCTTATATTCCAAATTGCTGATCTGACTCTTGGCTTCATCTACTCTACTGTTGAGTCCTTTCATTTCAGTTAGTGTATCCTTCATTTCTGACTAGTTCTTTTATATGGTCTTTATGTTCTTTTTCAGGATGTTGAAGTTCTAAGTTCCTTAAGCATCCTTGTAACCATTGTTTTGAATTCTGTATCAGGTAGTTAGCCTCCATTTAATTCAGTTCTTTTTCTGGGGATTTCTCCCGTTCTTCCATTTGGGATCGGTTTCTTTGTCTCTTCATTTGGTAGCCTCCCTTTGTTTGTTTCCATGTATTAGGTAGAGTTGCTATACCTGCTGGATTTTGATAGAGTGGCCTTATTTAGTAGGTGTACTACAGGACCCAGTGGCACAGCCACCCCGATCACCCGAGCTGGGCGCTCCGGTACGATGCTGTGTGGGCTGTGCACTGTCTGGTTGTAGTTGAGCCTTGATTGCTGTTGGTGTCACAGGGAGGGATTGACCCTGAGCCCGTTCAGCTGTGGTAACTGGCTGCAACTACAGCAGAGGAGCTGCTGTGCAGGAGTTGACCCTATGGAGCAGAACTTGCTTCATTGGAGCTATGGTGCTCACCAAGTCTACTCCTTGAGTGTGTTGTTTATGGAGGTGTTAGGGTTGTAATCTTGCATGGTCTGAAGCTGTCCTGGCTCTGGGACCTCCTTGGGGGGTTCAAGGTCAGCCACTGCCTGTGCCCTGCCTGCATCCACCTGGCATGAGTTACTGAGCCATCTGCAGATGTTGGGCTTAGGGGTTCACAGGAGAGGCCAAGCTGCAAACCAAAGCCAACTGCTATTAGTGCCAGGCCTAGGGCGACGTATCAAGAGATAGGGGGTACACAGAGGCCAGATGCTGCTTGATTGAGAAATTTTAGGAAAGTTTGAAGTATGAGGCAAGAGAGGCCAGTTGTATGGAAAAGCCACTGGAAATGGCTTGGTAGAGCAGGGGCCTTAGGCAATCAATCACCAGGGCAGGGTAAACTGTGAGCTGGGTTGATAGACTCAGATATGGTGCCTGCCTGTTGGCTCGGGGTGGAGGTGGGGGGTGTCTCAGAAAAGGAACAATGGCCTCTGCCAGCACTTTTGTCTGGGAGAAAACTGCCCCTTTAGCCCTCACCCTGATGCCAGACAATTCAGTTCCTCTGCATATGTCTCTGGTTTCTTTCACGCAGCTGCCTCAGTGCTGAAGCTCAGAGGGAATGAGTCCAAGTAAGTTTGTGTGTGAACCCTTTAAGAGGAACGGCCTGGGGCTCCAGAAGCTGTCTGTCTCACTCAGCTGTCTGTCTCACTCAGCCAAAATCCCTGCTGGTATTTACAGACAGAAGTTATGGAGACTTCTCTTCCTGATACTGGAACCCTGGGCTGGGGGACCTAGTGTGGGGCTGAGACCCCTCACCCCTCAGGGGTTATCTCCTCAATAGAGATATGGTTCCTGATTTTAAACTGCCACACTTGGCCATAGCCGGTTTGGCTCAGCAGTTAGAGCGTTGGCCTGTCGTCCAGAGAGACCTGGGTTCGGTTCCCGCTAAGGGCACGTACCTCAGTTGCAGTTTGTCCCCGGCCCTGGTTGGGTCGTGCCGGTGGCAGCCATTCAGTGTGTCCCTTTCACGTCGATGTTTCTCTCTCTCTTTCTTCCTCTCTCTCCCTCCCGCTCTATCTAAACAAAGAATGGAAAAATGTCCTCCGGTGAGGATAAAAAAATAAATAAATAAACAAACAAACTGCTACACTTGGGTGTGGGACCAGCCTGTTCTGCATCTCTGCTCTTCAAAGTGTCCTCCAGTGAGGAAAATAAATAAACAAACAAACAAACAAACTGTCACACTTGGGTGTGGGAGCAACCTGTTCTGCTTCTCTGCTCTTCCTACCAGTCACCATGTGGCTTCTTTAAATCCTTAGTTATAGGACATCCATTCAGCAAGTTTTCAGGCAGTTCTGATTGGTGGTTTTCTGTAATTTTCATTGTAATTTTGATATGGTTGTGGGAGGATTGAAGTACCACACCATTCATTTATTTTTGCCTTTACTTCCCTTGCCTTTGGGGTCAAATTCATAAAATGTTCTCTATGACCAAGGTCCATAAGATGAGTACCTATGTTTTCTTCTATATAATTTATTGTTTCAGATCTTATATTAAGGTCTTTGATCCATTTGGAATTAATGTATGTACAAGGAGACAAACTGTAATCTAGTTTCATTCTTTCTTTTTTTGGAATTTTTTTTTCTTTATTGATTTTGGAGAGAGAGGAAGGGAGAAGGAGAGAGGGAGAAACATCGATGAGAGAGAACATCTATTGGCCACCTCCTGCATGCTCCCCACTGGGGATTGGGCCCACAGCCTGGGCATGTGCTCTGAACAGGAATCGAACCAGCAACCTCTTGGTACGTGAGTTGACACTCAACCAGTGAGCCACACCGGCCAGGCTCCAGTTTCATTCTTTTGCGTGTGTTTTTCTGATTTTCCCAGAACTATGTATTGAAGAGGCTTTCTTTTCTCCATTGTGTGTTTTTGGCTTCTTTGTCAAAAATTATTTTTTGCCTGTATACATGTGGTTTTATTTCTGGGGTCTCTATTCTGTTTCATTGGTTTGTGTGTCTGTTTTTCTGCCAGTGCCATGCTATTTTGATTATCGTAGCTCTGTAGTATAATTAGAAGTCAGGTAGTGATTCCTCTGGCTTTATTCTTTTTTCTCAGTATTACTTTGGCTATTTGGGGTTTTTTTGTTTGTTTTTTGTTTTTTTTGTTTTTGTGGTTATATATAATCTGATGATTTTTTTTGCTCTGTTTCTTTAAAAATGACTGGGATTTTGATGGAGATTGCATTAAATCTGTATATTATTTTAGGTAATATGCCCAAAAGAATTTTCTTAAAAGCTGCCATTACCAGCCGGTGGGTGTGACTCAGCAGATTGAGCATTGTCCCGTGGACTGAGAGGTCCTGTTTTGATTCCTGGTCAGGGCACATGCTTAGGTTGTGGGCTTGATCCCCAGATGAGGGCATGCAGGAGGCAGCCCACTGATGTTTCTCTCTCTCTCTTCCTTCCCCTCTCTCTCTAAAAAAATCAATAAAGACATATTTAAAGGGGGGAAAAAAGCTGCCATAACCAGAAAAAAGGATTAAAGACACATGTTAAATATAAGGTAAAATAATTCATGTTAGAAATTTCTTCAGTTTTTTCCTCCACTTTGGTCACCCACACTGAGTTTTGAATCTAAATATACGACATACAACTTTAAAATTTTTATATACTTTATCTTTTCCACATTTCAGATTTCGTTGGTACCTGGATGGTATACTAAAAACAATAAGAATTATCTGATTAGACTAGTTTAATTTTTTTTTTTTTTTCCTTTTTTTTTTTTTTATCCTCACCCGAGGACATTTTTCCATTTTTTGTTCAGGTAGAGTGGGAGGGAGAAAGAGGAACAGAGAGAGAGAGAGAGAGAGAAACATCGACGTGAAAGGAACACATCGAGTGGCTGCCACCCGCACAACCAACCAGGGCCGGGGACAAACTGCAACCGAGGTACGCGCCCTTAGCGGGAATCGAACCCGGGTCTCTCAGGACCGCAGGCCGACGCTCTAACTGCTGAGCCAAACCGGCCAGGGCAAGACTAGTTTAATTTTTTTTAAGACAGAAAATCACAGGTTGAAGAATGTGCTCTGGCTGATTCCATTCACTTATGCAGGAATAAATCTCAAATTTAGACATCAAGTGCATTATAATATAGGTTGTCTTAGTTACCATACTTTAAATTTTAACTCAGTTTTGTTTTAACTTACTTTTAATTTTTACTTCATTTTATTTTATTTTTCTCCAATTTTTTTTTTTGTTTTGTATCCTCACCCGAGGATACTTTTCCATTTTTTGTACAGATAGAGTGGGAGGGAGAGAGAGGAAGGGAGAGAGAGAAACATCGACGTGAAGGGACACATCGAGTGGCTGCCACCCGCACGACCAACCAGGGCCGGGGACAAACTGCAACCGAAGTACGTGCCCTTAGCGGGAACCGAACCCGGGTCTCTCCGCACCTCAGGCCGACGCTCTAACCGCTGAGCCAAACTGGCCAGGGCTATTTTTCTCCAATTTTTATTAATTTATTTTTGTTACAGATGTTACTCCCCCCCCCCCCCCAGACTTGACTTTATTTTTTAAACAAATTTTTATTTATTTAATAGTTTTTTAATTGAATTTATTGGGGTAACATAGGTTAATGAAATTATACATGTTTCAGGTATACAGTTCTACAATACATCATCTGGACATTGTGTTGTGTGTTTACCACCCCAAGTCAAGTCTCCTTCCATCACCATCTATCCCCTCTTTTCCTTCTGGTAGTCTCTATACTGTTGTCCGTGTCTGTGAGTCTTCTTTTACTTCATTTAAAAGAAACAGTGGTATCTCTGTCTTCACCTTGTTTGTGTAAAATGTTTTTTATTCCATCTTTATAATTATAGAACACAAAGCTAATTATAATGTGTAAGTTTCTTTGCCTTTCAACATTGTTATGTAAAAACATCTTTTTAAACTGAATTCTATATTTGAAAAAGTAATATACACTTATGCTTAAAAATGTAAAATTCAAGAATACCTAAGGAGAACACAATAAAAAAAAATCTCCTCAATAGTATAAACAGCATGCATAGCTCTGCCTGCAAAATTTTTTTTTCAATCCTCAACCAAGGACATTTTTCTGTTTATCTTCAGATAGAGTGGGAGGGAGGGAGGGAGAGAGAGAGAAACATCCATGTGAGAGGGACACATTGACTGGTTGCCTCCCACACGACCCCAACCGGGATCAGTGGTGAACTGCAACCGAGGTTTGTGACCTTGGCCGGAATTGAACCCACGACTCATTGGTCCGCAAGCCAACACTCTAACTATGGAGCAAAACCAGCCAGGGCTGCAAAATATTTTCATATGTATATGTACATATATAACAATTTTTTATGACCAGTCCCTTATACATGGACCTTTAGATTGTTTCTAGCCTTTCATGATTATAAACAATATTGGAAAGAATAGGTGCAGCTCTGTTTACACGTGTGAATATACCTGTAAGATAACTGATAAAAGTGGAATTGCTGGGCTAGAGAGGATTTGAAATGTGATGGCAAATTGACTCTAAAAAGGCCAAAATAATGTAAACTTAACACTACCAAAAAAGAATACTCCAGTTAATACCAATAATCAAAAGTATTTCAATAAACTTTTTGGTTATTGTCATAACAGTGGTAAAAGTGGCAACTTGTTATGGTTTGCCCATTTTTCATATAGGTTGTAAGCCTTTTTCTCATTGGTTTGTAAGAGTTCTGCATATGAAGCACATCTATCTTTAGCCAACTGATTTGAAATGCCATTTTTATTATACAGCAAATTCTGATCTATTTCATTGATCTGCTTATTGCTGCATCTGTATCAAACAATTTTAAATACTATAATATTATATAGACAGTTTATAGTATGGTTCCAGAGCCCCTCATTGTTCTTTCTAGCTAGAATTTTCCTGGCAGGGCCATACATTTATATTGTGGTATTGTGGTGTTAACTTTACTGGAAGAAGTTTTATAGTTGTTTTTAATAATAGTATCCCTATATTCAGTTAAGAAAGAAATGTCACCTTTAAATTTTTAGTCTCCAACTCTAAGAATATATTCCAATTATTCAAATCAACTTCTATATCCTTTAGTGTTTTAAAGTTTTTTTCTCTGCACAGAATATATGTGTTTGTTATGAAATTTATTCCAGGTATTTTTTTTGTTCCCATCATAAGTGAAATTGTTTCTTCTTCCAGTACATTTTCTATTTCATTACTTGTATTTAGGAAAGTTGCTGGTTTTTATTAAGTTTTCAGTTGGCAACCTTATTAAATTCTTACTGATTCTAAAAAATTTTCTAGTTGATTATCTTGTCCTTTCATCTCATCTTCAAATTATGATAATTTTGCCACTTTTCTAATTGTTCTCTTACTGCTTTCTCATTGATTTTTCATTCTATCAGAACAAGTAAAATAGTGGTGAAAGTGTCATACTTATTATCATAATGTCCCAACACCTACTGACTGGTAGTTCAGTGTGTGACACCCTAGTGCAAGCTATTGGCGTGCCTTGATTTATATTCTCTCAGCAAATGTGAAATTATGATAAAAGAATTTTAAGCCTGCATTTCTCTTACAACAATATGGTACCAAATTTTTCGGTATAAACTAAGAATACCCATAATGTACACATCAACCACTGTTTTGGGTATCCAAGAATTAAAATGTATGTTGAAGTTAATTGAAAATTTTTTTTAGGAATATGAAGCCATCTACCTAGCAAAATTAACAATACAGATGATGTCACCACTCCAGATAGAAAGGTCATTATCTGTCCATTCTGGTACCACAGGTAAGGATTTCTTCAGTTTTGAGAAAGTTGTGGGAAGAAAGATGAAAGGTAGAAAATAAGTATATTTTGCTTGTTACAAGTTACACTGAACAATTTAAATTGTTTAGGAAAATGATAATTTCAAAATTTAATTTTATGATAAATAAGTGTGTATTATCAGCTGTGTGCACATCACTACATAGTTAATTGGTGTATGCTGGCTGGAAGATCAGATTTCTACTTGGTTTAGTTTTAAGTCTCTAAGTAGTATATCTGTGTTGCTACTTAGATTAAAATAAGAGCCTGTGAGCGTCGTCCAATGGACTGAGAGGTCCTGGTTCGATTCCCAGTCAGGGCACATGCCTGGGTTGTAGGCTCAGTCCCTAGGGGGAGTGCAGGAGGCAGCCATTGATGTTTCTCCCTCACATCTGTGTTTCTCTCTCTCTAAAAAATGAATTAAAAAAAAAAAAAGAGGAATCTGTAGAAGAGGTGATCATATTAAGAATAAATGAACCCTGGCCAGTTCGGCTCCGCGGTTAGAGCATTGGCCTGCGGACCAGAGAGTCCCAGGTTCGGTTCCTGCTAAGGGCTTGTACCTCAGTTGCAGTTTGTTCCCGGCCCCAGTTGCAGTCATGTGGTGGCGGCCAGTCGATGTGTCTCTCACGTTGATGTTTCTCTCTCTCTCCCTCCCACTCTCCCTCCCGCTCTATCTGAAGATAAATACGGGTGAGGATTAAAAAAAAGAATAAATGATAATGTCCTAGCTGGTTTGGCTCAGCAGTTAGAGTGTCCGCCTGGGGACCTAAGGGTTGCAGGTTTGATTCCCAGCCAAGGGCACATACCTGGGTTGCACGTTTGATCCCTGGTCCCAGTCAGGGTCATGTGGGAGGCAACCAGTTGATGTGGCTCTCTCACATTGATGTTTCTCTAGCTTGCTCTCTCTCCTTCCCTTCCACTCTCTCTAAAAATCAGTGAAAAAATATCCTCTGGTGAGGATTAACCACAAAAAAAAAAAAAAAAAATAGAATGAATGATAATAAATGAAAGTATGTTTCAAGTTAGAGTGATTAATGTCAGCTACCTCAGTTTTTCTCTTGTCATGGATATTCAGTCCCTTCCCTTTTTCAGAGCCCCCTTCCCCATTTTCAAAGTTAATGATTCAAGTACACTCTCAAAATCTTTTAACTTTTACCTTCCTCCTTCCAAGATCTTGTTACCCTTGTTTGCCCTCTTCTTTTTTTCTTGACCGGAGCACTCATGGAATTTATTTATCTATGGTTTTTCTCCCCCAAAGTTCATTCTGTTCTCATTGGAACCAGCAGCCTTATATGATAGGAAGAATAAGTTACATACCTACTGCTTGTGGGCTGGAAACTGAGCACTGGTGATCTGAACCACAAGTCCAGCAAGCACTCTCTTCACTGTATTGCACAGCCTGTTGTGATCTTACATATTCATCCTTCAGGCACAACTTCCTAGTTGTCATTAACTTTTTTTTTTTCCTTCTTATTTTAGAGAGAGAAACATCAATTTGTTGTTGCACTTGTTTATGCATTCATTGGTTGTTTCTTGTATGTGCCCTGACCAGGGATTGAACCCGCAACCTTGGTGTTTGGATGACACTAGAACCAACTGAGCTATCTGGCCAGGGCCTCACTCTTTCTATTTATTGTATATGCACTCCACAATGGTTTCCTTTGTGTCTTTTTTCCACCTAGAAAGAATCACATTTAGTCTTTCTGTTTCTACAAACTTGGTTACATGTCATCTCTCAAGAGATTAATTTACTCTTCCTCCAATCCCATCATTTGAAACTCCTGTATCTGTGCTTCCCACTTTTCTGCCTTGCATTAGTTATTTGTACTTTAACCTCCCTTAGTGGAAGACAAGTGCAGCACCTCATCTGAAACTCAGTTACAACAGTGGTATTTAGTCCTATGTCTAGCATATTTTCTTCTTTATTAGATTGTCTTGATTTATATTTCTATCCTTATTTGATTAATTTTATAGTGACACATTAGTTTCATGTTGGAATCTGCCCTCTGAATTAACATTACTCTGATTTAGCACAGCTGTTAGAGCTTAAGTTTAAGGCCATGTCATTGTTAGGCATATAATACAGCACCTGCTTTACCAGTTATTGTTTCCTAAAGTTTTTCTCCATGGAGATTCAATTTTTTTTATTACATCTATTGGGCATACAGGGACAGCTTTCATTCTATGTGGGAAATTTCTGTAGTAGCAGACTCTGATGTGAAGAATAGATAAAAGAAAATCTCTATTTGCTGCATGCCATCCTTTCTCCCAATTCTAGACTTGTTGGTAATAAAAACCACAGCTTCAGTGGAAAAATATTTTTGGCAGCATCTATGAAAGCAAAGATAATTATATCTACAAAGTAATATTGTACAAATATAAAATTAGTTTCTTAAATTTTATGTCCCAAGTCACATGATTATGGTGCCTAAAAAATATAAATTTGATAACCAGTTATTTACCATTATCTCTAAAATTTTTATTTTCAAACTGTTTTAAAAATTAATGCTTATCATTTACAATACCTAAACACACTTATTCTCAAGAAGGAAAATATATCCTGTTATGAAGATACAAAGTTATCTGCATAATTCATAAGAGAATTTACTCAAGTTTGATGAAAGTTCAGTCATGGAATATTCTTAGTGCATATACATGGCAACATGTCATTAAAAATGAAACTTATTAGGTGTAACATTTCTAACAAATAAATGAATTTAAGTTCCCATTATATGTTATGTTCATGCAATAAATTTTAGGCAGTTTGAAGAGAACACATGAAGAAGATGATGATTTTGGAAGCATGCAAGTGGCGACTGCACAGAATGGCTGACTCAAGAGCAACATAGAGGATGTGAATTTCTCTTTGGGAAGGAGAAAACACTAGAGACAATAATAATGTAAAATGGTAAAAACACAAGTACTTTCTTTTCAATTATATGTTGCTTCCAGATGTTTCTCTACAACTTGTTAAGCAACATTTTAAGATGTTGGATTCCTGCAATAGATGGCACTGATGGTTTTACTCCTTTCTTTCTTTTTTTCTTTTTTTTTTTTTTTTAACATTTTACAGTTTTATTATAAACTAAGAATTTTGGACTTGCAAAGAGGTATTATTGCAATAATGCACTTTTCATACTTGAAATTTATTTGTACGATATAAAGTTACTACTTTAAACAAAATGCAAGTTTTAGGGGATTTGTTTATAAATCTGGGTAATTTATAACTAAAGAATTTCCTAAAGTTTGCTAAAAATTCATTTTGTGTTCTATATATTACAATTAAAAAATAATTTTACAGTTCAATTTTATGTTGGAGCCTCTTACAGAAACATTAAGAAATGCAGGAACCTGTCACGTTTATTCTTAGGATAATTAAATAGCTTAATTACCCTTTTCTTTTTTTTAAACTTCTTGATCACTTATCACTAACCTTTAAATCATGACATTAGCCAACTATCCTTACTTTAAATGATCCAAGTATTGCTTCCTTTCCTATTATCTTCCTAATTTGTTTAATCTATAGGGGAAAAAAAGTTTAATGAACTAAAGATGCTTTGCTTTACAATACCGGATGCTCAAAAACAAGGAGAGTTTTAGATTTTCAAGTGACTTTCCTTTTTGCATTTCTTAAAAGCCAAATGTGTTGTTCCTTTTAGTGTTGCTTAGCCTGTTTTTCTTTGTCCAAATGGTTCTAAATAGAATATAATAAACCAATGTAGCACTATTTTTTTTTCTAAATGAAGCCCAAAAAGGAAAAGTGCCTTGCATCATTAAAAAGAATAAAAATAAATTCTCATGACCTCTAAATTAGCATATAGAACAAGGAAAAGTTTTTAACATTTTTCTGTATTTTTTTTAACCCACAAATTAGTTTAAACTGAAAGTCTGACGCTTAAGGAAACCTCAGTAAATAATTTGGAAATATTTACTCCTTTATTTTGTTTATTTTATTGTATTAGTGATTCGTTGAGGTTGTTCTGGCTGAGACAGAAGCTTTTCTTTGAAGATGCATTTATTGGGGAAAGTGATTTGTGGGATACTTTAGTGTATTTTAAATTCGTGTTTTAATCTGTTCTTTACATTGAATTAGTCCAAATTTGTCCCATAATTTGCATTAGCAAAGTCACTTTATGGACCTGTTTCTTCTTATTTTTATTTATATTTATAAAAATTGTTCTGAGAAAAACATTTTTGCTATTTTAAGTATGATGTGAGGGAGGAGAGGAGTGTTTTAACTTTTTATAGTTGATGATTTAGGTTAGCACAAACAAAACTCCTTTCTATCTCACTTTTCTCGGTCCTCTCTTGAGGTGCTTTACTTATGGGGATGATTTCCATACGTTCCCTTGGTACCAAGAGGTACTATGCAGGGTAACATTACACCACGTTACTTGCTTGGCCTTCCTCCCTAAAATGTAATAATACAGTTAAAGCTTGTTTTATCCAGCATAGGAGTGTAGACATGAATTAAAATTGCTTTGTTAATAAGAGTTAATTCCTGTTGACCCAGGTGATATTCCTCTTCCGATTTCCCTTCCCTTTCTCTATTTTACAACCCTGAAAACAACATATTGTTAATTCCTCTGTGGTCTGTATTCTGTTGTGTGATTAGGTCATTTGGTGTGGTTGGCTAGTTGAGTCAAGATTTTCATTGAATGTTCAGAAATGCCAGTTGGTAAAGTGCCAGATAACACAGCTTTCCTGTAAATAGATCACTATTGGTAAATCAGCAAAGATCTCTCTTGTAATCTAATAATATATGATGCTTCATTCAGCAGAAATTCTGCTCAAAAGAATCTTCATACTAGTACATGTAGATTTTAAAAATGAGGTAAAGATTTTAAAAATTAGTTTAGTAAGTATACATATCCTCTCTAGCAGTTGGGTCAAAAAATACAGATTTGGTTATGTATTAATTTATAGCTGGTAATTTTCCACTTTTTCTAACCACTATAATTTTTATGTTGTCACTAAAGTGCCTGCCCAGCACTGTTCATTAAAGACTGTCTATCACAAACACTAGCAAAAGGGACTTTCATGAGTACAATATTAATGTGGACAAAGTGATGTTTATTCTTTCTTTCATATAAGAACATTGCAAATTTGTTTTATCTTGGATCTGTTCTTCCACCCAATGTTCAACTAGTTCTTCTGGTAGCTCTTCCTAGTCTTCCTTCTATTTGGTTCCATTTCTGTAATTTTATTTCTACTGATGTTGTGTGATAGTTAACTATAATACATTTAACCAATCATGATTTATTTTCTAGAATATTTGAATAATGTACAAGTGGTGTAGTATCCAATTTTTAAACATTAAATATGTAATCTGGGCAAAGAATTTAAAGTGAAATTGCATTAAAATACAGGACAACTGTTTTTTATTGTCCATTTTGAAAGTGTGAAACTTAAATATTGAAAATATTCAAACTGGAATGGCAGTATTCTTACCTTCTAACTTCAGTTAATTGGTTCATATTATTTTATCTATTAGATGTTTTAAATAGCAATTACTTTTGTTTATTTGTATCTACTCTATGGTAGAAATGTTAAATCGTGATAACTTTTGCTACGAACTCTCAACCACTTAAAATTTTTAGAGCAGAATATATGTTTCGGGGGGATTTTGTGCTTCACCTGAATTTAGAAGTAATGTCAGAAAATGTTAAGCATGTCCTTTTTTAGAAAATACAAGGTTTCCAAATGTCTTATTACCATGGTAATTCAAGTGAATTAGAAGTATTTAACGGCAATCTTGAATTATAAAGTTGGGGTGCATATATATGCATATATATCAGGATCTCAACTGATGTAAAGTAAATGAGCAGTTACCTAGTGGGTTTTTTTTCAATAACTGGCTTAACCGACACTTCCACAACAAATAGCTTCACTTCAGTATTTTCTTTATCATTGTCCATTTAACAATGCTCCAAAAATGAAATGCTAGGAAATAGCTGAGATTAAAAGATTTTATTTTTTGCTCAGAAAAATGTTTCTAGGGTCTTTGAATGCTGGATTTTATCATTATTATTATTATTATTTTTGGTCTTACCCATCCATGGCAGCTAAAAAAAAAATCACTCAAAATATTCAGGTTTACATGTTAGCTCTCTTTGTAGGGAGTTGCCATACCTCACAGTTCCAACTGTATACTATAAATCAGTAACATTATACTGACATGTAATTGCAATTTACTATGCAGCAAAAATTCAAGAAAAATAACCTACAGTGTCTACTTACCTTTGTATAGGCAATTGCTTAAGTTACTCTGCTTTTAACATTTGTACTTAGACAAAATGCTTATGTATGTATAGGAATGTCACAGTGCAAGATGCTGCTAGCTCAGACACAAAGTATTAAAATTATTTTGTGAAGATTTGTGGTTGTATTAAAACTGTTGTGCCGTTATACCTCAAAACGATTGAAAATTTCATTTATACTGCTTATGCCTCAGAACTTCTTTAGATTGTTGGCTTCCAGATAGAAGTAACTTAGTTTAATTCCCACAGATTAAGAAGGATAAATGAACATTGGAAATTGAGAAGCACTTAAGAATATTTTCCAACACATTGTGGACACACACATATACATAAAATATGGTCAGTAGTCAATGCAAGGCCCAAATTTCAGCTCAAGTATGTTTTTAGGAATTATTTGATTAAGTTTAGAGTTGGAAGTGAGGAAATTCGTACTTAAAATAAATGGTAGGTATTCTATAGGTCATTTTCCAGCCCATTAAAAAAACACTTCTTGCCTGGCCGGTTTGGCTGTGGTTAGAGCATCGGCCGGTGGACCATGGTCCTGGGTTCAGTTCCCACTAAGGGCACGTATCTCAGTTGCAGTTTGTCCCCGACACCGGTTGGGGTTGTGTGGGTGGCAACCACTCAATGTGTCTCTCTTACATCGATGTTTCTATCTGAAGATAAATGCAAAAATGTCCTTGGGTGAGGATTAAAGAAAAATAATACTTTTGCTTTATAACTTTTACCTCCGTTAGCCTACCTACATACTATTTTTCATCAAATGTAAGATGCCATTACTACACCATTATTTTAGATACCACTAAAAGGCAAAATATTACTGAATAAACTCTGACAAGCCCTTGATCATAAAATGCACCTAGAGTTCCAAAATGTTAATGTAAAATAATATGCATCTTAGAATCAATGCAATACAAATATACACAATATGTGGGGCACGATAAAAATCACACCTGTCATTTCACTATACTTTTTCGAAAGCAAACTACTCAAATTTGTGAATATAGTTAAATAACTGTTTTTTCCTTTGTTCAAGTTTACTCACAATATGGCTTAGGAAATCGTAACATATTCAGGTCAACTAAAGCTAAATACAAATCACCGTTTTCCTCATGACACAATTTTTATATACTATACCTTGTTTGTAACTATTTACTTTAGGGAAGGTTTAAGGTAAGACCTTCAGAACACCACTGAAAGTAATTTATTGAAATGCCAGCCTTGTAAACAGATTTCCAGTTTTACATCAAATTGTTCAGTGGTAAGAAATGTAAGAACTTAATTTTGCTTTTTATTAGGCTTATTTTCTAATATGGGTGTACTTGATAAAGCTACTATCATGGCAAGGTTGTGGGAACTCCAGTAAGGCAAATCTAGCCCTGGTGCTTTCATTAGAGACAGATCATTTCATCTGTATAGGTCATCACTAGAGAAGTAGTACACCCTCTATTAGTGAACAGTTTCTATGTATTATTTATTTTAAAAAAATTTTTTTCCTTTATTGATTTTAGAGGAAGTGAGAGGGAGAGAAACATCAGTGAGAGAACATCAATTGGCCACTTCCTGCATGCCCCCCCTCTGGGGATCGGGCCCACAACCTGGGCATGGGTCAACACTCAACCATGGAGGCACACTGGTTAGACTGTATTATTTATTTTTAAAATATGTTTTTATTGCCCTGGCTGGTTTTCTCAATGGTCAGAGCATCAGCCTGTGGATCAATGAGTTGCAGGTTCGGTTCCAGTCAAGGGCACATATCTTGGTAGTGGTTTGTCCCCAGCCCTGGTCAAGATCGCTCTCACATCAATGTTTCTTTCTCCCTCCCTCCCTCCCACTCTATCTGAAGATAAAAAGGAAAATATCCTCCAGTGAGGATAACAAAACAAAAAAAATTAAAAATAAGTTTTTGATTATTTTAAAGAAGGAGGGAGGGAGAGAGGAAACATCAATGTGAGTTCAGTTGCCTCCCATACACACCCTGACCAGGAAATGAACCAGTGACCTTTCAGTACATGGGAGGACGCTCCACCAACTGAGCCACACCATCCAGGGCTAGGTTTCTGTGGTTTTAGAAATCGAACTTTAACTTACTGCATGGAGAGAAATCCAAAATCCATTTGAGGTAGGTGTGAGTCAAAGGGATGAGAAACAAGTGGTCTTTACTTTCCAAGTTTTTTTGTTGTTAATCCTCACCTGAGGATATTTTTTCCCATTAATTCTTTTCTTTTTCCTTTTTTAGAGAGAATGGAAGGGAGGGTATGGGGGGTACAGAGAGAGGGAGAGGGAAAAAACATCAATATGAGAGAGAGAGACATCGATTGGTCACCTCTGGCACTCGCCTCAGCCAGGGCTGGGGATCAAACCTGCAGTCCAGGTATGTGCCCCTTGACGGGGAATCGAACCTGAGACCCTTTGGTCCAAGGGCCAGATATTGTATCCACTGAGACACACCGACCAGGACCCAAGTTCATTTTATAGAGTACACAAAACTGATTTTATGAACCATTACTTGACATAATAGCTCAATAGAAGACTCAAGAAAAGCACAGATAATTCATCATATGAACAAGTTTAATGCAACATGGAATGCAAAAGATTAGAACCATTAATAACATATCTAATACCCACTTCAACTTTAAAAAAATAAATAAAATCAAAACAGGATAGTGACCAGAATAATAGCACTATTATAATCACATTAAATAGAAAACCATCAACATTTTGAGACTGTAACAAATATAGTATGATACATTTTTTTAAATATTCCATTCAATTTTATGCTCTATTTTTCATAAAAATGTTCCTCTGAAGAGAGGCTTCAGACACCCATGAAAAGATGAGAATATGCCAGGATATGCTAATTCACCGTTAAAAAGTACCTTATATTTGTTCTTAAGTACTTTGGACATTATATTTCACATATAAGACAGGTAGAACTTTGCCTACATTAGAATTATAAAAACTTTTAGATGTACATTTACATTGTTTTACTTTGAATCTTGTCATTTTATAAGTTAATTTTCATTTCTGTTTTAAAAGGCTGACCAGGTTATTTGCCAATACAGTATTAGGAACAACAAATGTTGGACTATACTACATTTAGTTATAACACATCTAACGTACCCAGTTTCAAGTAATATATGTGAAATGACACACCTTAATTCATATTTAGATGTTTCTTTGAACCAAACGTATTAATTTTATGAATGTAATAAGAAACAACCTTATTGTCTTTTTTAAAGTGAGCAGTACAGGTAACAAACACAGTAACTCCTATACTCTGACTGCCAAGAAATTAAGCCAAATTTTAGAAAAATACAATGCAAGAAAAGATTCAAGTTAAAAATATATTTCTTTGGTTAAAAATCATCCTCGTTATAATACTATTTTGTAATCTAAACTCACAGTATGTCCCACCAGCCCAAAGTAATCTTCTAAATGTCATTATATTTGTCATATTACAATGTTTTTTCAACCCAGCATTTGTGGAGGTCACTGGGTTGCAGCAAACTATTTTAACTCTAGGAAGGGTATATCACCTTGTTGCATTAGCTCCTTTGACAAATGTCTTTCTTAAAAGATTTTTACTTTAGAAACCTCCGGCACATGTAGTTTTCTTCAGATACTGTATATCCAAACTTTTTATAGAAACCTACATTTTGTGGTAGACATTCAAGGGTAATCTTATAACAGTTCAGTTTCTTGCTTAGTAAAGTAAGGGTTGATAATAACCTGAAATTTAAAGGGGGGGGGGGGTACATAGAGCATTTATTAATAAAAATGGATTTTGGTAACTTATATTACATAAAATTTCAAGTTTATATTAGAAATAGGTTTAGGTCATGGCCATTCCCACTATATATTCATTTAAATATTCAAACCGTAAATGGATAAACATTTAAATCACCTACAGCATTTTAGTTTGTTTCAAATATGCATTAGCTGATAATCTTTAGCCTATAAACAAATGAGACGAATTCTAAACTCACCCTAACCCTTTTAAAAAATAAGTTGGATATGCCCTGGTCAGTTTGGCTCAGCAGTTAGAGCTTCAGCCTGAAGACCGAAGGATCTCGGGTTTGATTCCCAGTCAAGGGCACATACCTCGGTTATAGGTTCAATCCTCAGCCCTGGCTGGGGTCATGCAGGAGGCGACCAATCAGTGTGTCCCTCTCTCTCATGGATGTTTCTCCTTCCTTCCCTCCCACTCTATCTAAAAATCAATGGAAAATATGAAACTTGGGTGAGGATTAAAATATAAATGAATAAATAAAAAAATCTGAAGTTGTTAACACTAAAGATTATCAATCTTTTAAAAAATGTGGCCTATATTAAAAAATGACTTTTTTGCTCTGGGCGGTTTGCTCAGTGGTTAGAGCATCAGCCCTCAGACAGAGTCGTGGGTTCGATACCGGTCAAGGGCATGCACTTTGGTTGTGGTTCATCCCCGGTCCTGGTCAGGGTCATGTGGGAGGCAACTAGTTGATATGTGTCTCTTGAATCGAAGTCTCTCTCCCCACCTCCCCCAACTCTGAAAATAAATGAAAAGCTATCGAGTGAGGATTTTTTTAAAAGTCACTTTTTTCTTTTATATATATATACACACACACACACACACACACACATATATATTTTTTTTATTTGAGAGAGGAAGGAAGAGGGGGAGAGAGCTAGAAACATCGATGAGAGAGAACATCAGTTGGCTGCCTCCTGCATGCCCCCCACTGGGATTGGGCCCATGGACAATATGGGCATGTGCCCTGACCAGGAATCAAACCCGTGACCTCTTGGTGCATGGGTCAATGCTCAACCACTGAGCCACATGAGCTGGGCAAAAAAAAGTCACTTTTTCTAAATCTATTCAAACTATGTAGGAACAGTCAATATTCTCACACAAAATGAGTAAATAATAACCTTGTTCTTTATTGTTTTTTAAAAAATATGTTTTTATAGATTTTTTCGAGAGGAAGAGGGAGAGAGAGAGAGACATTGATGTGAAGGAGAAACATTGACTGCCTATCTACTGCACGGCCCCCTACTGGGGATCAAGCCAACAACCTGGGTATATGCCCTGACCAGGATTCAAACCAGGACCTCTCAGTCCATTGGACGATACTCAATCCGCTGAGCCACACTGGCCAGGTGTATTGTTTTTAAAACTACTTTAATATTTGTGAAAGTAGATACCAGATTAACTCTGGATTGGTCTAATTAATATGAAGTAGAAACAAAGCAAAAATGTATACATCTTTATAAATCCTTAAAGAACTAAAACCCATCCCTGGCTTGTTTGGCTCAGTGGTACTGCATCAGACAGTGGTCCAAGAAGCCGCGGGTTTGATTCCAGTCAAGGGCACATACCTCGGTTGCAGTTCAGTCCCTGGCCCTGGTTGGGGTTGTGCAGGAGGCAGCCAATCTATGTGTCTCTTTCACGTCGATGCTTCTCTCTCTCTCTCTCTCCCTCCCTCCCCCCACTCTATTTGAAGATAAAATGGAAAAAAGTATCCTCAGGTGAGGATTTAAAAAAAAAAAAAGAATTAAAACCCAGTATATGAATGGATTCTAACTGCCTTATGTGTTTAAAAAAAAAAAACTTTAAAAGATCTACAGAAACATACCTGAAGTGTTTTCTCATGTTTGCATAAACTGAAAAATCATACCAATTTGAAAACATCTTGATTGAAGTTATGAAATTATAAAGGGTAGGACAAAGTAAAGACTAACATATTAGAAATCTGGTCTGTTTTTAAAAGATTTAGGTAAATGTATAGAGGATTATACAGTAAAGGCTATTTCAGAATGTTTCTAAAACTTAGGAGACTGAGAATATTTTCTTTGTTTTAAAATATGATAGAGAAATGGGGAAATCACCTGAATCAGCCAAAAATTTGTTTCCTAGTAGTGTGGGAATGCAACTATTAAAAATTAGTAACTTACAGCCCTGGCCAGTTTGGCTCAGTGGTTAGAGTGTTGGCCTGCAGTCCAGAGAGACCCAGGTTCGGTTCCCACTAAGGGTGTATACCTCAGTTGCAGTTTGTCCCCGGCCCGGTTGGGTTGTGCGGGTGGCAGCCACTCAATGTGTCCCTTTCACGTTGATGTTTCTCTCTTCCTCTCTCTCCCTTCCACTCTATCTTAACAAAAATGGAAAAATGTCCTCAGGTGAAAAAAAAGAAAAAAAATTAGTAACTTATAGATGTTACTGTCTACAAAATAGTACACTTCCAATTTCCAAACTTTATGGTAAAACTAATACAAAAATAATATTTCTTCATTACATTCAGTCTAGGCTATAGAGCCGGGGTGGGGAATGTCTGGCCCATGGGCTGGATAAGGCCTGCCAGATCAGTACCAGCTAACATGCACCTCACCAAATGAGTCTGACCAAATATAGCAGGCTAATCTCTTTTTTTCTTTTTCTTTATTGATTCCAGAGAGAGGAAGGGAGAGGAAGAGAGAGATAGAAACATCGATGAGAGAGAACATTGATTGGCTGCCTCCTTCATGTCCCCCACTGGGGATATGGCCCACCGCCTGGGCATGGGCCCTGACCCGGCGATTTGGCCCACAACTTGGGCATGTGCCCTGACCGCGACCTCTTGGTGCATGGGTCAGAACTCAGCCACTGAGCCACACCAGCCAGGCTACTCTTTAAGTTGATAATTTTGTATGGCCTTTGAATGATGTTATAAATATCCAAATAGCCCGGGGCAGAAAAAAGGTTCCTCACTCCTGCCCCGGGACAGTGGGTTCATAATTACTGCCGCCTAAAAGGAACTTCAAACAGGAAAACGTGTAACAAAATATCTTGGCAAGGAACTGTAAACTGAAACACAAAAAGCATCTTAATTTATCCAGGATTACCTTGTTTCTGCCTACTTACAATTTGCCAAGTTGCTTTCCTCTGCATTCATCACTAACAACAACATCTTCTACTCTTCCTCTCTGAAAATATTTACAATGTTTAAAGGACTAAGCGTGTAGTTTTGTTTTTTGGTGAATCAAAAGTGATGGTAAAAGTTCACTGACAAAAATAAATGTTTTGTGAATTTGACCTTAACATAAACTAAAATGGAAAACTTTTTTACTTAATAGAGGAAATAATGTAATGAATCAACTTTGGTCTGATCTTGTTTTATCTATAGCCTGAACCTCTCCACCCCAGTGTTTTAAAGCAGATCTCAAAATTTGCAGCACCAAAATGTAATTTTGTTATAAATGTACTATATCCATCAAACTACTTCTTGCTTAATAGCAATTTATTTCAGACATCCAAAATACAATTTATTAATTTCTAGTACAGAAACCCTACTAAAATTAGTAACTTACAGAAAACATTCCAAATGTTCCTCTCCTTGCTATTTCTTGTGAATCATGAGGACTAAAGGAGCTCTATAGGCATTAGAAATGTACAATTAGCAAAACAGGTGGGATTCTGAACCCTTTGCCACCTGGAAACTGATGGGAATTTGTGTCGGTGTAGTATATTCAAAGTCCTGATTGTTGTTGTTTTTTAAATAGTATAGGGATTCCAAAGATTACTGCCAAACTTGACAATGCTTTCTTGTTTTCTCTATGACTATATCAAACCTAATACCTTACAGAACAATTTTTAGCAAGCAGTTCATATTGTTAATACATTTTCATCCTCATAACTCAGGACAAAATGGGAAATCACTGCTTACTAAGGGATTTCAAAGAAGCAGAACCTTTCAGGGCAAAATACCTCTCATTTTACAATGAAAAGCAGTGAGAAAACAGATCTGTCTAATGGAAACTCAACGTAGATTTTGCTACTAGAAAACACAATTATAAGCATTAATGTGAACACATACCTTAGCACAGGAATGGATGAATTTATGTTCTATTATCAGAGTTGCCGTGGCAACAATCTGTCCTATAGTCACATCTTCCACAACTGTAACATAATAATCCCCAGATTTCTTCATGTGCTCAAAAGATTCTGTGGAAATTGGAAGGCAGTGTTATATGGCAGACATTGAACTTTATTAGGTGGCAAAAAATACTAGGATTAGCTGACTTCATTATTGAACATTTAAAGCTATTTCACCATAGTAATTTATACTTTGCTGCTAAGAAAATATTTTAAATGACCAAGTAGCTTAAATAGCAGTCAATAAATTGTAATATAGTCCATACATTTATTTATTTATCTATCTTTTCTTAATCCTCACCCAAGGATATTTTTTCCATTGATTTTTAGAGAGTGAAAGAAGGGGCAGGGGCAGGGGCAGGGGAAGAGAGAGAAACACTGATTGGTTGCCTCCCACATGAGACCTGACTGGGCCAGGTATCAAACCTGCGACCCTTCCATGCATGTGCCGACACTAACCATTGGACACCCTGGCCAGGGCAGTAGTCCAGACATTTAAAGCATATGCTAGCAAAGTCAAAGTAAGACTAATCCAGCTATTTTAGTTACTTTAGAGTTACTTTAAACTTTTACACTCAACAGAACAAAACTCTTTGCAAATGTTAACAAAAGAGTATTTTTATATGGCTCCATTCCATAATTTTTAGTCTGGGGACAAACTGCAACTGAGGTACATGCCCTTGACCGGAATCGAACTCGCGACTCTTTGGTCCACGGGCCAATGCTCCAACTGCTGAGCCAAACCGAACCAGGCTGGTTTCCAAATATTTTGACGAAAGAAGTTCTCAGTTTTCCCCTTGTAATCTCATGTATTTCATGAGTACATGACTTGCTTTTTAGAAGTTACAATCATTGTTTTGTTTCCTTTAAAAGCATCTTGTAAAGTAGGTGGAAAACATGTCTTCATTTCCAAGTAATTTTCCCAAAGTCACAGCAAATAGGAGCAAAGACAGAATGAATACTTTACTTTCAAATTTTATTTTTAATACTTATATTACTGAAATAACAGTTTCTTATATAATCTGGTACGCATGCAATTTGCAATTCAGAAATAAAAACTGAGCCTAATAGTCTCACATATTTATGTCCACAGTCTCATTCTACATAGGGGTCTAGAGTAGGAAGAAGAAATAAAATCAGTGAAGGAAAACAATGAGAATCAAAATGATGATCTTCATTTCAGGAAGGTGAGATAGAGTACAAAACAAAATTACCTTTTGAAGAAATTATAGAAAATAGGAAAAAGACTGTTAAGCACTGGATGGAGTCAGGAGGTTCTGGTCTTTCCTTATTAACAACTACTTGTGATCTTGGGTGAGTCATTTGACCTCTTCTGACTTTCATTCTCTCATATGTATTAGAAGGGGGAAGGGGGATTACTCAATTATAACTCTAAATTAAATGTAATCTTAAAATTCAACAGAAAAGAACCAAAAATATATAGAACATATCCTCTTATATTTTTGAGTTGTAATTAAATTTCTGTCAACCTCATGAAAAGAAATAACTACAATAAAGAAATGAACCTCTAGAGTTGCCACCTAGTAGTCAGGTAGCCCAGCCAGGGTGGTTCAGTGGATTGAGCATCCCATGGACTGAGAGTCCCAGTTCAATTCACATGCCTGGGTTGTGGGCTCTATCCCCAGGAGGGGACATGCAGGAGGCAATCGATTGATGTTTCTCTCTCTATTTCTCTAAAAAAGAAAAAAAAAAAAATTGCTCTGGCTGGTTTGATTTCAGCAGTTAAAGCGTTGGCCCACAGACCAAGGAGTCACGGGTTTGATTCCAGCCAAAGGCAAGTACCTCAGTTGCAGTTCATCCCCAGCCCTGGTCAGGGTTGTGCAGGAGGCAGCCAGTTGATGTGTCTCTCTCATATTGATGTTTCCCTCCCTCCCACTCTATCTGAACATAAGTGAAAAAGTATCCGCAGGTGAGGATTAAAGAAAAATTAGATATTTTGCAAAAATTAGATATATGGTGATTACTACATTTGGATTATAGAATTTTAGCCATGTAAAACATTTAAATTAGAAAATAGGTAGTTTGGGCTTCCAGGTCAATATGGCAGAGTAGGTAAATACTGTGCTCTTCTCCTCCTACAACCACATCAAAATTACAACTAAATTATAGACCTCTCTCTTGAGAACCACCTGAAGACCAGCTGAACAGAAGTCCTATAACTGAGGATGTAAAGAAACAGCCACATAAGACTAGTAGGAAGGGCAGAAACACAAAATGGGCTAGTCTAACATCCATGTGTGCTGGTTAAGAATGGGGAGGGATGGCCCTGGCTGGTTTGGCTCAGCAGTTAGAGCATCGGCCGGCAGACCAGAGCGTCCCAGGTTCAGGTCCTGCTAAGGTCACATACTTCGGTTGCAGTTTGTCCCCGGCCTCAGTTGGGGTCGTGTGGGTGGCAACCACTCAATATGTCTCTCTCACATCAATGTTTCTCTCTCTCTCTCTTCCTCCCTCTCTCCCTCCTGCTCTATCTGAAGATAAATGCAAAAATGTCCTCAGGTGAGGATTAAAAAAAAGAATTGGGAGGGATGGATATCTCAGCCCCACACCAAGGTCCCCAACACAAAGCACCACTGCCAAGAAGAGTCCCCACAGTAGCTGGCTGTGAAAATCAGTAGGGATTCAGTCCTGGTGAGATGGAGGGCTGCTAGATACCTAGGTGTCCACTTAAAGGGCCTAAGCACAGACTCATTCACTCACAGTCACTCACTCTAAGCTCCAGAAAAGGGACAGCTGCCTAGCAGGTGCAGGTGGGTGCTAAGTCTTAGTCTTCACCCACCGGACCTGAACCTCTTTCAGAGGTAAATCCACATAGGTGGCCAGCCTGTGCCCACACTGCAGACTTTCCTGAAATCTGTCAAGGTCTCCAGACAAGCAACAGTTGGCCTCAGAATGCCTTGTACCTCTTGCTAAGCAGTTCCAAACCCAGTAATAGTGGTGGCCAGCCTCAGTTCATAGCATAACCAATTCTAGGTACCTCCAAGCTCAGCACAGGCAGCTACCAACTGCTGGTTACTTTATAGCTCTTACCAGGTCGTCCCTAGTTGGACACAGGTAGCAGCTGACCTTGGCCTGTGTCAAGAGGCCCCAGAACCAATACACTTGGTTGCCAGCTTCAGACCACATCAGAGCACCACCCAATTAGCACTACAAACAACACATCCAAAGGGTGGACTTGGAAGGCACCAGAGCCCCACTAAAGTGAATCCCATTCCATGGGGTTAGTGCCCACACAACAGCTTGTCTACTGTAATCACAGCCAGTCAGCCTGAGGGTCAGTCTCACCCACTGCCATACCAACAGCAATAAAGACTCAACTACAACAGAAGGGTACACAAGGGACACTCATGGAGCACCCAGCTTAGGTGACCTGGCAGACTACAACACTGGGCCTCACAGTACACATTACATAAGACCACTCTGCCAAGACTGGGAGATATAACAGATCTACCTAATACATAGAAACAAATACAAGGAAGCAACCAGGACAAAATTCCAGTAAAAGAAAATGGAGGCAAGTAATCTACCAGATGCAGAATTCAAAACACTGATTATAAAGACAAGTCAATCAACTTAGGGGAAAAGTGGATGTTCTTTTTGAGATCTTCAACATGGAGACAGGAAAGAAAACATAAAGAACCAGTCTTAAATGAAGAATATAATAACTGAAATTAAAAAAAAAATACATTAGATGAAATCAATAGCAGATTAGATGAATCAAAAAATTGAATCAGCAATTTGGAAGACAAGGTAGTGGAAAACACCTAATCAAAACAGCAAAAGGACAAAAGAATTTTTTAAAATGAGGATAGTTGAAGGGACCTCTGGAACATAGGGGTATCATTTGTATCATAGGGGTGCCAGAAGGAGAAGAGTGAGAGCAAGGGATTGAAAACCTATTTGAAGAAATAATTGAAAATTTCCCTAACCTGGTGAAGGAAATAGACATACAAGTCCAGGAAGTATAGTGAGTCCCAAACAAGATGAATAATCCAGAGAGACCCACAAAATACATCATGATTAAAATGCCCAAGGTTAAAGACAGAGTCTTAAAAGCAGCAAGAGAATAGCAGTTACCCACAAGGGAGCTCCCGTTAGACTGTCAGTTGATTTCTCAACAAACTGCAGGCCAGAGGGATTGGCACAAAATATTCAAAGTGATAAAAACCTACAACCAAGATTACTCTTCCAAGCAGAGCTATCATTTAGAAGCAAAGGTCAAATAAAGAGCTTCCCAAACAAGAAAAAGCTAAAGGAGTTCACCACCACCAAACCAGTATTATAAGAAATGTTAGCCTTGGCCGGTTTGGCTCAGCGGTTAGAGCATCAGCCTGCGGACCAGAGAGTCCTGGGTTCAGTTCCCGCTAAAGGCATGTACCTCAGTTGCAGTTTTTCGTCCCCCTCCCGGGTCTTGTGGGTGGCAGCCACTCAACGTGTCTCTCTCACGTCAATGTTTTTCTCTCTCTTCCTTTCTCCCTCCTGTTCTATCTGAAGATAAATGCAAAGATGTCCTCAGGTGAGGATTAAAAAAAAATTTTTTTTAAAGAAATATTAAAGGGTATTTTTTTAAGAAGAAGAAAAATAAATAAAAAATATGAATAATAATGCAAAAAAAATTCTCACTGATAAAAGCAAACAGTAAAAACTGGATCACCAACACTAGAGCTAGTATGAAGGTTAAAAGGCAAAAGTAGGAGGATCATGTATGATTACAACAATAAATAACCGGATACACGTACGCATAATAGTAGTAAAGAAAGACAAACACAAATGTGAAGGGGGTGATTAAAAATGGTAATGATTACAGAATGTGTTAAAAATTAAGTGACCATCAACTTCAAATAAATTGCTATAAACCTAGCTTAGCATATGTGAAGCACATGATAACCATAAACCAAAAACCTGTAAGAGATATACAAGAAATAAAGGAATCCAAATGCAACACTATAGAAAGTCAACATACAAGAGAATAAGAAAGGAAGAGAACTATAAAAACAATCAGAAAACAGAAATGGCTATAACTACATACCTATCGATAACTACTTTAAATGTAAATGGATTAAATGCTTGAATAAAAAGTTGAATGGACCCTGGCTAGTTTGGCTTAGTGGTTAGAGTACCAGCCTGCAGATCAAAGGGTCGTGGGTTCAATTCCAGTCAAGGGCACATACCTGCGTTTCAGGTTCAATCCCTGGCCCGAGTCGGGGTTGCGCTTAGTGCAACCAATCGATGTGTCTGTCTCACATCAGTGTTTCTCCCTCCCTCCCTTCCTCCCTCTCTCCCTCCCTCTCTCAAAATCAATGGAAAAATATTCTCAGGTGAGGATTAACAACAACAACAAAAGTTAAATGGCCCTGTCTGGTGTGACTCGGTTGAACGTCACCCTGTGCACCAAAAGGTCACCAGTTCAATTCCCAGTTAGGTCACACACCCAGGCTACAGGTTCGATCCCCAGTTGGGGTGCATGTAGGAGGCAACTGATTAATGTTTCTCTTTCTCTCCCTCTCCCTTCCTCCTTCTCTAAAATCAATAAAAACATATTTTAAAATAAGTTGAATGGATAAACATACAATGGAATATTACACAGCCATAAAAAAGAATGAAATCTTACCATTTGTGACAACATGAATGGACCTAGATGGTATTGTACTAAGTGAAATAGGTTGGACAAAGAAAGACAAATACCATATGATTTCACTTATACAGGAGGGACAAAAGTAAGTTTACAGTTGTTCATATGGAAAAATACAATAATTAATAAATAATAATACAAGAATAAACTGTGCTTTATATACTCACAGCTGTAAACTTTTGCCCCACACTGTATGTGGAATCTAAAAAATAAAATAAACGAGCAAGCAAAACAGAGGCAAACTCATACATACAGAGAACAGACTGATGGTTGCCAGATAGGAGGGGATTTGGGGACTGTGTAAAAGTGAAGGGATTGAAGGATTGAGAAGTACAAATTGGCTGTTACAAAACAGTCACAGAGATGTAAAGTACAGCTTAGGGAATATAGTCAATATTGTAAAACTATGCATGGTGCCAGATGGCTGCTTGAAATATCGGGGGGGGGGACCCTTTCTAAAGGATATGACTATCTATCCACTATGCACCTAAAATTAATATAAAATAGTACTGAATGTCAAGTGTAATTGAAAAGAAAAAGTTTTTAAAAGACAAAAATAATTAGTTATTTGAATAATTTTCATTTTAACAAAACACATAGTATAGACTGATTAAAGCTCTAAAAATAATCTTGTTTCCCTTTATTTCGTTTTATTCAGAAAAAAGAGGCTGTAGTACTTACTCATAAATTGTTCAGGATTGATAACTCCGGTCTCTGTCAGCTGACCTAGTACCTTAAAAAAACCTGGTTTTGCAAAAACAGATTTCCATTCATGAGAAGAGCAAATGAAAGAGATGTTAAATGAGGCAATGCATTAAATAAGCAGGTGGGATTACGAGCAGTTATTTTTTTCAAAACTTTAATGAATCATTTTTAAATTATTTCAAAAGATTACATTACATAAAAAACTCCTTATTCTTTCTATAATCACTACATAAAACAAAGAATAATAGGTTTTACCAGTGTTTTTCCCTGCATAAGATGCATAAGATTTTTGGAATAGTGCTAACCTTAATATTCAATATTTATAGAACCAGCATGTACATTTCTCAATGTAATTTGCATTAAATATAATGCAAGGGATGCCTAATTTTCCAAATATGTGCTTTGGTTTTACTTAAAAGTACAAGATTCTCAAAGAACAGATATGATACTATACAAAATATAAAATAATTGTTGAGACTACCATTTTTAAATATTCCTGATTAATTTCATTAATGTTAAATTAATGTGCACAGCACATTTTAGAACTTGGAGAATCTTCTATACAGTCAATGACTAATTTGACCACAAATAGTTTTTTCATATTTCCTACCAAAAGGAAAACAGAAAAAATTCATTTTCAATTACTAAAATTTAAGGAAATCATTTTGGAGAATGTAGATGTTAAAAAATGAAATAACATGTAGAAAAATTTTTTGTAACTCATCCAAGGCAAATTATCTCTACCCTCATTTCCCATCCCACTTCTTAGAAGAGAGTCTTCCTTATGTGCCACTATACATGATAAGTTCAGCTTTATGAGAAGTCTTTTGGCTTCTTATACTCAGAGGGGAACTTCCCGCCTGAGGGTCATATAAGGCCCACAAAATCAATACCAGCTAAACTCACAAGCCTAACCAAATACAGGAGGTTAATTTTAAGTTGATAATTTTGTATGGCCTGAGAATGATGTCATAAATATCCAAATGGCCCTTGGCAGAAAAAAAGGTTCCCCATCCCTTCAAAGGAGCCATGTTATAGTTAAGTCATTTGAAATATTTCACAGTAATATCTGATCTTAACCATATACATTAAAATTGAGAGTCTCAGTTATTTTAAAAATGAAATACAAAAAATAATCCAAAGTCAAGTATTATTTTTTAAAAATTATCACCATCATTATGATGTTTGTGGAGAAAACAGAATGCTAACTACAATTCTAACTAGGATTTGTAGATTAAGCCCATACCTCTATTTAAATCAGCAGTACAAAGAGGCCTCAAAACCAAACCTTCTCCAGGATGTGTTGGGGAAATGGCTGGAGAAAATGTAGCTGTATTCTGGCTCCAGTCCACTTCTTGGAGTAGACTTGGGTCAAACATAGGCGTTTCATCAGGTTTCATCTTTGCGATAAGGTCTAAAATAAAATTTTAAACATTAAAGCATTATGTTTAATAGAAAGAAAGTTATTGTGATTGCTATACCCAGTTAAAGAAACTATTCTGTTTGACACCTGCTTCTAGCTCTTTGAAACAAAGAATTTGAAAATGTGTATCAGTAATATACTACCATAAAACAAGGAAGCAATATAGGAAAAATTAAAGTCCATTTAAGACAACAAGTTTCCCAATAATCCAACTCCTAGATGTTCCCTATTAAGGGCAACTCTTCTTCACTTTTCCTTAAAGGTTGATTAAACTGCCTTTATAAACCCAATGTAACTATATAGGTAATGCTGTAGAGTAATAGAGGCTTTGGGAAGGTGGGGTGGTATAATAGAAGCCAACATTGTTTAGCACTAATTATGTGCCAGGCATTTTTCAAAGAACTTTACACACTACTAATTAATTTACTTTAACAGTCCTATAGGGAAGGGAGGATTATTATTATCTCCACTTAACAAATGAGGAAATGCATGCAGGCAGACATGTTAAGTAACTTGCCCAGGTCACAAAATTAGTTAAGCCAGGATTTAAACTTAGGCATGGAAAAAGCATGAGCTCTGGAATCAGACCTGGGGTTTGAATGTCAACTATGTGACTATGGCTAAGGTAGTTAAACTCTGAGAATCTGTTTTCTCATTTGTAAAATGGAGAGAGAATTTCTGGCAGGATGAAATAAATTGCTGTATACAAGCACTTGACAGTGCTTGCCACACTGCAAGTGTTCAACAAGATAACCTTTAGTTAGCAATTAATACAAAATTCATGTTTATAAATTCTTAATTTTTTTCACTTTTAAATTAATGAGTCAGGCACTGTGCTGGGTATAGGTGCTACAAAAAGAATGATAGGTTGTCTATTATGTTTATGTTAAACAAGAAATTTTTTTAAAATCACAGTTTATTATATAGAATACTGAGAGGTTTTTTCTTTTTTTTTTCTCCCCCAAAAAGGACTCCGGTCATGTTATGTTCTAAATAACACTATCTTGGTCTAAGAATAGTAAGGGTAGGAAATAACTTCTGATGGTTAAAACAATCATTCCTATTAAATTTAACAAACCTACAGTCCATTTGAAACATTTTTCATAGGTTAATTTTAGTGCAAGCATTTTAGTGTTTGTCCCTGATATTTGGGCCCCTGAGGCTTTTGTGTGTACTCTCTAAATGATGGGTAACAATGTTGTTTTTCAGGTATGCAGATAAACAGGCTAAATATTTATCAATAAAGTAAAATGTGTACATTAAATGCAGATGCCAGAAAGTATTAAGAATTTAAGTTCCTCCAAGCAACACACTAGTTAAACATTTTGATGTTTACGCTATTTAACATACAGTTGTAACCATTAAGTTTAAAGAAAGTTCAGAAGGGAATTTAGATGAACATTAAGACAATTTCAAGTTAATGAGATTCCTTTTTCCTATAAAGTTGTCTGAGTTTATAATAAAATGCAGACTAGAAAACATGCAAAATAGGATTGATAATTTCCAAGAGAGGGGAGAGAGGTACACAGAAGAATTAGACTTATGAAGCCTTTGATAATGAATTTTAAACAGTAAATTATAATATTTTCCTTTGCATTTCTTCAACCAGGTGGTCCTATTCCGTGAATCATCATGAAAATCAATGGTATTGGCTAACATTCATTGAGCACTTTCTATTTGTTAACTAAAAGTACAACAAAAGACATATCATTATTATTCCTATTTTGCAGACCAGGAAGCAAACACAGCAACTTGCTCAAGGTAATAGAGTCAATAAGGAAGAGACTTAGGATTTAAAAAACAGGTAACAGGCCTAGTGTCATAGGGACTGGACCTGTGTGGATGCACAGGGCCCCACACTTGGATCAGTTCTCTGCTGCCACTGTCTTGAAATTCTTAATCATTTTTTAACAAAGAGCCCTGCACTTTCAAGTTGCACAGGTTACCACAAATTATGTAGCCATTCCTGCATGACATGAGACTGCACTCTTAGTACTGAAGATGCACTAGTGAAAATGAATTCTCTCCTTTATTGTACAAGTTAAAGACACAGTCAAAAGCAGCTCTTGTAACCTATATTTGGGAAACAAAAATTTCAAGCTAGTCAAAATACATTAAAGAAAGTGAGAGTCCCCTAAGTAGGCAATCAGAAATTAGTATCAAAATGTTTTATGAGCTGTTTTACAAAAGCAAACCCATACTTAAGGTTGGTTACCTTCCTTTATCTTACTCTGTCCCCAAAGAGTAAAATTTTGCTGGTGTCCAATTAATATGGTGGACAAGTTAAAGATGTGGTTTGATACCAAAGTTGAAAAGATTTTTTAAAAAATATGTTTGTATTGATTTTTTAGAGAGGGAGAGAGAGAGAGAGAAACATCGACGTGCTGCATCCTGCATGCCCCACACTGGGAATCGAGCCTGCAACCCAGGCTGTGTGCCCTGACCAGAAATCAATCCATGGGATGACGCTCAGTCCACTGAACCACTCTGGCTAGACAAAAACTAGGAAATTTCAGCAAACATAATTGCACAGTTGCTTGAAGCTCAATCTCATTATCTTTGGGGTCTCATTTTAAATTAATTTAAAAAAATAAACCCTAACCCTCCTTACATATTTCTCAAAAACCTTTTCCTGTTTAACTGCTAAATTAACATTCATTTACAGGCCCATAGATGCCTAACCTTAGCTCAATGAATACCTTGTGAATGAACAATAAATGGTGTAAGACTTAATCTGGAGGTCACATTTCAGACAATTAAGAAGGAAAAAGATTTGCAAATTGCCACAGGTGATACAACAAAAACCATATACCAAATTCATTTTTACTAGGATCACATCAGGTTTTCATTCAGTTTACCATTCTTTGACAATTCCAACAATTTGGCTTCCCAGTCTCTATAGCACACTAGAATACAAATGAGGAGCTGCTGCCAGATGCAAGCAATGAAAAGGAACAAGTGCGCACCCTGCTGGTGGGGCTCAGTGGTTGAGCGCTGACCCATGCACCAAGAGGTTGCCAGTTCCATTCCTGGTCAGGGCACATGCCCACGTTGTGGGCCAGGTCTCCAGTGGTGGGGCATGCAGGAGGTGGCCAATCGATGCTCTCTCTCATTGATGTTTCTCTCTCTCCCTCTCCCTTCCTCTTTCTATAAAATCAATAAATAAAATAAAATAAAAGGAACAAGTGCCCTGGCCTGTTTGCCTCAGCAGTTAAAGCGAGGCAACCAATTAATGTGTCTCTCTTACATCGATGTCTCTCTCTCTCTCTCTCACTCTATCTGAAGATACATGGAAAAATATCCTCGGGTGAGGATTTTTTTTTTAAATTAATTTATTTTTTATTAATTAATTTTTGTTACAGATGTTTCTTTTTCCCCCACTGATTCCCCCATCCCCATCCCTCCCTGCCCTGTCCCCAGTTTGTTGTCCATGTCCACTGTTCATGCATACATGTATATAAGTTCTTTGGTTTATCCCCCCACACACCCCCCCTGAAGATTTTTTTTTTTAAAGCAACAAGTAATAGACACTGGGAATAAGGGTTTAAAAGTAGATATAAAAAATGTAAAAACAATAATCTAAAGCCAATCTAAACTGTCATGTATTTCAAGAGCTCCTGGGTATCACTATACTACTTCAGTATATGGTAAATAGAGGAAAGGGAGACGTGTTATTTCAGCCTAGGGTTTGCCTACATACGTTTTATAACCATTTCAATAATAATGTGACTGAATTTTTAACTTAAGAACATTCCAGCCCTGGCCGGTTTGACTCAGCTATTAGAGCGTCGGCCCTCGGACCAAAGAGTCTTGAGTTCGATTCGGGTCAAGGGCACATACTTCGGTTGTGGTTTGGTCCCCGGCCCTCTTGGTCAGGGTCGTGCAGGAGGCAACCAGTCCATGTATCTCTCACATTGATGTTTGTTTCCCTCTCCCTTCATCCTCCCACGCTATCTGAAGATAAATGGAAAAATATGCTTGGGTGAGGATTAAAAAATAAAAAAGAACAAAAAGAACACTCTATTCCCTGATGACTTCAATAGGCCTGGCCATATTACAAAATTGTCCAATTACACTTCACTTGAGAATTTTAAAAAGTATTTTCCAATAGTTTATTTGATCCTTATAATCTAGGCATTATTCCCAGTCTATGGACCAGGAAATTAAAGCACGTGGAGCTTCCAGGAATTGACCCGGAGGTAGCACACAGTTGAATGAACTGGACTAGAATCCTATCTTGTTTCCCCATCCTGAGTTCTACACTACCATATTAAATTGATACCAATCTTTACATCATCATACCAGACAGGTAGCTCTGTCTCCCCTGTGCTAAACAATGTTAGCAAATCCTGCCTGAAAAGAACTGGCTAAAGGATTTCTTGAGATCCACTCTCGATTCATTCATGAGTGGATGCCTTAACAAAACTAATCCCATAAACGCCTGCTTAATTTTGTATGAAACTGAGTTCAATTTACATAAACATAACCTCCTATAACAGAAATCCCACTACTCAGTGTTTCTAGGGGTAGAAACCCCGGGAAAAGAGACAAAGGATGTTCCTCTTTTCCACAGTGAAAGCCGCGATTTAATCAGTGCAGGAGGTGATCTTAGAAGCAGGAACATGTCTTCAAGTGGCTCACAACTGCCGTGGGGTGCACCTCGCAAAGGAACGGCGGGACCGGGAGGGGGCCCGGGGCGTTCATGCCCATTCAAAATCGATGGCTGAGCAGCTGTCTCGATTCCCATGCCAAAATCCAGTGAGCGAAGGTTAGTTTCGACCCGGGTCCCTACTCGGGCCCTGCCAAGGACACCCTTGCGTGGCAGGACCACTGGCCATCATCCCTAACCTCTGCCAGGCGCCTGTCAGCTCAACCTGCTCCGACCCGCGCTCTACAACCTCGTGTGCACGCACCCAGCGGGCAAGGATAAATAACCGCCCCCCCGCCCCGGGCCTAACGCGCCTCGCCCGGGGGCAGCAGTCACACCTGTTGGATACAGCTGAAGGCAGGCCCACCACGGCCGCCAGCACCCCCGGCCCCCAACCCTCCTTACCCGTAGAGGCCCCGCAGTCGGCGCTCCTCTCCGGGCCCGGCGGATCCTCACCCACCTGGGTACACAGCACTGGACCCGGATCCTGCTTCAGCGCCAGCCCCACCTCCCTCACTTCCCCCACCTCCCGCGCCACAGTCGCCGTCTCCGCCGCCGCCAGGACGTGGCAGCGCCAGCGCCTCCACCCCGCCCCCGTCCGCTGACGCAGGCCGCGCGCAGGCGGGCGGAGGCGCAGGGGGGGGCGGGGCGCGCCCGGGGGGCGGGGCGGGGCGGGCCCGCGGCTATAAACCAGCGCGGGGGCGGGGGCGTGGGCGCAGACGTCTCGGGGACCCCAGTGCGCAGTGCCCGGGACACGGAGTTCTGACCTCACTCCCCAGGGCCTTCCCCACGTCGTCGCTCTGTTGGTTCAGTGGAAATAATTCTTAGGAGTCAGCTAAGCGCTCTAAGTGGTGACTGGCGTGGGCCTCGGATTCTCAGACCGTAGCCTCTTGCCCTCTTCATGTGCCCTGCTGCTCCTTAAGAGTCAGTCCGTTGATTAGGACTTAAGCAGCTCACGGGCAGCTGAAGCTACTTATCCCATTTTCTGAGTTACAGATCCAGCCTCCATGAAGCTACATTCTACTACTTCGAGGCTGTTGTTTTATTTATTTCTCCCTCAAATTCTTTTTGTATGAACATGGGGCTACGACACTGGTTCTCAGCTGCAGCGATTTTGCATCCCAGAAGACAAATGGCAATGTCGGGAGCATTTTCAACCTCATGTCTGGGATAGAGGTGGGATTGGCATCTCTCTAGATGATAGAGAATATGTATAGGTAGGTAGAGACCACATATGCTGCTGTTTTACAATACACAGGACAACGCCCCACAACAAATAATTACCTGGCCTGAAATGTCAGTTGAGAAACAAACCCTAGGTTTGGAGAAGTAAAACGACTTTTTTCTGAGCTCCCATTTCCAAAGTGTTTTACGTTAAGTAGCACGTGTACCCATTTTACTGATTAGGACACAGGTTCAGAGATGCTAGGTAATTGACCAAGTTGACGTAGTAACTCCCCTTTCTTGCCTTGTGGCATAAATTTGCAAAGTAGTTTAGTCTTAAACAATGTTGTTCAAAGAATTAACACCATATATAGTCTGTCAGAAACTGCTTTTTTTTTTTTTTTGCTTGTGAGATTCAAATTTCAGTTAACTCTTACTGATTCATGCATTTTCACAACTTCAATCACTAGGCTGATGGCATTCACATATCTGTATCCATCTTTGTTTTTACCTATACATACAAAAGAATATATAAGACATAAAAAAAAATAAAAGTGAACACTAATTTTAAGAAATGTACAGCCTTTTCTTATCAGTCTCTGACCGTATGTTTTCAGTGAGTTTCTTCTGAGCAACAGAATCTTGTAAATTTTATAATTTAGCAAAGAGTGGAGCAATTATAAAATTTATCACAGAACACAGGAGTTCTAAAAAGTACCACAAAAGATCTGCATTCCAGACATTCTCCTCACCCCCTTTGTGCTATAGGAACCCAATTTCTCCTTAATAGTCAAATTCAGTCACCTCAGCCAGTAAAGTGGCCCCCTTCTTTGCCTGTTGGTTTACTTGCAGGGAGGAGACAATCTCAACTTCCATTTTAATGGAATCATTGGTGTGTCCTCTAAGGGTTGTTATTTATTCTATGGATTTTTAAATTTTGAGATATAATTAACATATAACATGTATTAGTTTTAGGTGTAGAGCATGATTCAATGTATGCATTTATTGCAAACTGAGTACCACAATTAGTTTAGTTAACATCCATCACCATACATAGTTACAAATTTGTTTTTCTCCTGTTATGAAAACTTTTAAGATCTGTTCTCAGCAACTTTCAAATGTACAATACAGTATTAACTATAGTCACCATTGCTAGGACTTATTTATCTTATTAACTGGAAGTTAGTACCTTTTGACCACCTTCATCCATTTTACTCACCAACCACCCACACCTGTGGCAACCCCAATCTGTTCTCCGTATCTAAGTTTGTTTTTAAAAGATTTGACATGTGAGATCATACAGTATTGTCTTTCTCTGTCTGACTACTTAATTTAGCATAATGCTCTCAAGTTTCATCCATGTTGTTGCAAATCACTTCCCTTTTAAGATTAATATTCCGTTATATATATACACATATATATGATATTAGTAATATCAGTGTATCAGTAATATGTATATATTATCATATCATCTTTATTGGCTCATCTGTTGATTGACAGGTTGTTTTCACGTCGTTGCTATTGTAAATAATGCTGCAATGAACACAAGGATACAGGTATCTTTTCTAGATAGTGATTTTGTTTCCTTGAGATAAATACCCAGAAGTGAGATTGCTGGATCAAATGGTAATTCTATTTTTAATGTTTTGAGGAACCTCCATATTGTTTTTCATAGTGGCTGCACCAATTTACATTGCCGCCAACAGTTCACAAGGGTTCCCTTTTCCCTACAGCCTTGCCAGCATTTGTTATTTTTTGTCTTTTTGGTACTAGCCATTCTAACAGGTGTGAAGTGATAGCTCATTGTGATTTTGATTTGCATTTCCCTGATGAATAGTGATGTTTAGTACATTTTCATGTACCTATTTGCCACCTGTATGTCTTCTTTATAAAAATGTCTATTCAGAGCCCCTGCCCATTTTTAAATCAGATTGGTTTTTTGCTATTGAGTTGTATGAGTTCTTTATATATTTTGGATATTGGGAGTATGTTTTTGTTTTTTCATTATTGATTCAATCTTACTGGTTCAATCAGTCTGTTCAGATTTTCTGTTTTTTCGTGATTTAATCATAGTAGGTTGTATATTTCTAGGAATTTATCTATTTCTTCTAGGTTTTCCAGTTTGTTGGTATGTAATGTTCATAGCAGTCACTTATGTTTCTTTGTATTTCTCTGTTATCAGTGTAATGTCTCCTCTTTCATTTCTGAGTCTGAGTCTGCTCTCTTTTCTTCCTCGTAAGTCTTAGCTAAAGGTTTGCCAATTCTGTTTATCTTTTCAAAAAGCCACTTCTTAGTTTCATTGATCTTTTCTATTGCCTTTTTAGTCTCTCTCTTATTTATTTCCATTTTGATCTTTGCTATTATCTTCCTTCTACTAAATTTGGGTTCAGTTTGTTCTTCTAGTTCCTTGTATTGTTTATTTGAGATCTTTCTTAATGTTGATATTTATCACTAGGAACTTAGAACTGCTTTTGAGCCCTGGCCGGTTTGGCTCAGCGGTTGAGCATCAGCCTGTGGACCAGAGAGTCCAGGGTTTGGTTCCTGCTGGGGCACGTACCACACACACACACACAAAATAATAAATAAATAAGAAGAACTGCTTTTGCTACATTGTATAAGTTTTGGTATAATGTATTTTTATTTGTCTTAAGGTATTTTTTTAAATTTCTCCTTTAACCCTATTGCCGTTCAGTGGCATGTTATTTAATCTTCATATATTTGTGAATTTTTCAGTTTTCTTTTTGTAATTGATTTCTAGTTTCATACCATTATGGTCCAAAACCACCATGATTTCTATGATTTTGGTCTTAAATTTACTAAGACTTATTTTGTGGCCTCATATATGAGCTATTCTAGATGATTTTTTATGTGCTTGAGAAGAATGTATAGTCTGCTGCTTTGGGATGGAATCGTTATTTCGGTTGGCTCTTTTGTTTTTTAAGTCCAATCTTTCTTTACTGACTTTCTGACTGGGTTCTCTATCCGTTAATGAAAGTGGGGTATTAAATTCCCCTACTATTATTGTATTACTGTCTGTTTCCCCTTTATGTCTGTTAATATTTGCTTTGTATATTTAGATGCTCCTATGTTGAGTGTATACATACTTATAAATGTTATATTCTCTTGTTGGATTGACCCCTTTATTATTATACAGTGACCTTCTTTGTCCCTTATTACAGTTTTGTCTTAAAGTCTATTTTGTCTGATATAAAAAAGCTGCCCCAGCTTTCGTTGTTTTCCATTTGCATTGAATATCTTTTTTCCATCCCTTCATTTTCAGTCTGTGTGGGGTTCTTACATTTGAAGTGAGTCTCCTGTAGGCAGCATATTGATGGGTCTTGTTTTATTATCTATTACTCTCTGTCTTCTGCTTGGATAATGAAATCCATTTAAATTTAAGTGATTATTGAGAGGTATGTACTTTTTGACATTTTGTTCATTGTTATCTAGCTATTTTGTATTTCCTTTGTTCCTTCTTCTTTTGATCTCTTCCTTTGTGATTGGGTGATTTTATGTAGTGGTGTGCTTAGATTCCTTTATCTCTTGTGTATCTACTATAAGTTTTTGCTTTGTGTATAACATGAGGCTTACATAAAACATCTTATATTTTTAACAATCTGTTTGAAGTTGCTAACAACTTAAGTTCAAAAGCATTCTAAAACTCTACATTTTTACTCTCCCCCTAAACATCTTCTTATGTTTTTTGATGTCACAGTTTGTATCTTTTTATCTGTGCATTCATTAACAAATTATTGTAGTTAGTTATTTTTAGTAATTTTGTCTTTTAATCTTCATAACTAAATTTATAATTAACCACCAGCATTACATTAGATTATTCTGAATTTAACTCTATGTTTACCTTTACCAATGAGATTTGTACTTTCATTTGTTTTTCTGTAGTTAATTAGCACTTTTTCATTTCAACTTCATGAGTCCCTTTAACATTTCTCATAAGGCCAGTCTAATAGTGCTCAATTCCTTTAGCTTTTTCTTATCTGGAAAACTCTCCTTCAATTCTGAAGGAAACTTTGTTAGGTAGAGTATTCTTGGTTGATAATTTTTTTATCCTCACCCAAGGACATTTTTCCATTTTTTGTTCAGATAGAGTGGGAGGGAGAGAGAGAAAGAGAAGCATCAATGTGAAAAGGACACCTGAGTGGTTGCCACCCGCACGACCCAACCAGGGCTGGGGACAAACTGCATCTGAGGTACCCGAGGTATGTGCTCTTAGTGGGAACCGAACCCGATTCTCTCTGGACCACAGGCCGACACTCTAACCGCTGAGCCAAAACGGCCAAGGCTCTTTTAGCATTGTTAATATGTCATGCCACTTT